TAGTGCTTCTGATAGAAAAAAACGAGTCTACTAAGATGATAAAGACGACTTGATTTGAGCATTCCTCTCAGATCTGCATTCAAAGTTGATTGCACACTGTAATCAGTACAAAGGAGGCCCATTTCAGTGGATACTGACTATTAGAGGGGTACTCTTTGTAGTATTTTTTGACGTATAAGATACACACGAACAAACTATATTATAACACATGCTATTTTTGAGGCCAAAGCGAGTAGCTTTGGATATTGCAAATGATGAATACCATACAAAAGGAGGATTGTCTATTTTAAATGCCATTTCCTTTTTATCTGGGGCACCAGATTCACACTCTAATTTGATCAGCATTCTTTTTCTGTTTGCCAATAGCTCAAACTGTATTGGTGGATCCAGGTACAGCTGTATGTGTCTGATACTGCTACTTTGTAAGCCTTGGCGGCAAACAAAATCCATGATTATGCAGCTATATGAAAAAAGATTGCTATATAAAATAGTGCTGTTATTACTGTGTCAACTCAATACACTAGGAGAACATAGATTATATGTTTCTGTATTCGATCATGTAGTCTCTATACCTCTAAAGCCCTCAATAAGCCCTTAAAACAGGGGTTTAGAAAGTTAACTGAGTATAACTGAGTCTGAATAATGGTCAGGGAACTTATCAGAATATAAAAACAGGTTCCCACCCTTTTTTTCTTTGCTTTCTTTGCAGCGTGTTTGTTTTCTGTCCTTTCAGGATACTGTACCAAACGTACTTGAGGGGGGATTTACCACCTGGGTACAAGTGCATTCTCTGTCAAGATAGTCTGCCTTTTTTTCACTAAACGGGTCTTTGCCGAATTTGATAGAGAGTAAAACAGACGCGTGTAGAGGGTTAGCTTATGGTCCTGTCCGAGGTGGTATTCCATCTTAGTTATGCGCACTGGCAGTCCAAGTCCAAATATTCCCAACGCTGGAAGGCTACTATCTTTTCTTGGCACCTTCTTCTCACTTGTGGGGAGGGAGGGGAACCTATCGGATAGTAATAAGTTTAACCCTATTCGTGGTATCTTGGTAGTCTCATTTCTTTGTGTGTGTGGCTATTAGGGTATTGCAGCAGTCTTGGTCGTTTGCTACTGTGATAGTGCTAGAAAGCGGTAGTGAAGGTTACTGGGATTGATAGTCATTCGCCTTTTCTTTTGTGAATGCCCTTTAGAGGGGCTTATTTTAGTCTAATGGCTAGAGTAGTCTTTCTAAAGTTAAGCTTCACTTTTGAAGGGGTATCTGTCTATTCGTGGCAAGCTCTATTCATTTAGGGTCGACTATCGGACAGAGTAATGGCTTTTTATATATAGTGTTCGTCCATTCATTCGTTTGAGCGGATCATCTATTGAAAATGATAGGCATTCCATTTTTTTTTTTTGATAGTGTGAATACTATAGTTGGGATTTGGGGAGCTTTGTGCGTACGCGCACCATCTTTTTGGGAACTCAATTGAACTGGTTTAGGTCCTCGTCCTAGTTCCTGGAAACAAATACTCACAGTATTTGGCTAAAGTATCAGTTTCTTTTTTATCTTTTTATTCAATAAAGTATATATACTAGTATTTAAAATAATTGATAACGCGTCTTTTCTTTTTTGTCTCCTAAATAAAAAGGCTTTCGCTTGCTATATGATACTACCTTAACCATGTAAACACTCAAGACATTCATGTATTCAACATGATATTCTCTTATTAAATGTGCCTTATTCAGTAATCATTGATATGACAATACTCGTCTTTGTCGCGGTGATAGATTCTACTATAAAAGAAGTCTTAACAGCTCTGACCTTTTGTAACTTGTAATCAAACTCCTGGATATCAAGAAGTCGGCTTTTAAGAAGTCCTCAACTATCAACTCACTATGCTTGAAAAACAATCCGTATACCGACTTGATACTTTTATCCAACTTTTATCAACTTCATTTATTAGATGTACTTTGATTTTACGAGCAAACTGATAAATTTCAACAAGTGCCATTCCTTCAATAGCGTACTTTTTCAGTGTTTCACCCATCTCTTCAGATAATTTTGAAAGAGACTTGATGTTTGTTGGGCGAATCTCTTTCAGTTCAGTTTTGGTGACAAAACGTCTTTGAAACTTATCTAACAACACTTAATGAGAAGCATTGGTGAATACAGTTTAAACTCTTACAGAAATGGTTTTTGAGGCCAATCTTAGCGATTACTAACAACAGTCTATTGGTGGTTTCTCGGCTTTTTTTTTTTTTAGAAATTGTTGGTATAGGAACAACCTATTACCCAAGAGCTTAACCTGGTCGTTTTACTTCTAGTGTCTTTTGTTCTACTAACATAAATTTTGATGGATATGTAACAACGAAACTGCTACAATACAAAAGCTGTTGAGGATCAAACATAATCGATTGCAACTTTTGAACATGCTCATAGTTTTGTTATTGTTCCACAAATACAAAAGAAGTCAAAACAACGGAAATTAAATTTACTTAAGACATTGTCGTTTTTAATGCTAATTTTTCTTCATGTTCACAATGATTTGAAGCATTGCATGTCTAAAGAAAGATTGTCTGAACAAATTTTGGATGTCCAAAAATGAAAAAAGCTACTCTGATTTACCATTTCGCATTTTTTGTAAGAAGGGGCTTCAAGTCCATTTTTATAAAATACACTGCATCATCATTCCTTGAAAGCAATACAGGTTTGACAAATCGGTCTTAAGAACCGATCTTTTACTTCTCTAATGCATGTTACGACTTGATTTCTATTCTTTTTAGTGCAGTTTGTATGGAATTACCTTCAAAAGAAAAGTTTCCCCTGAAAAAGAGAAGCATTCTCTATAAAATTTAAACAATAATCATGCAAGTTCAAAAACGTAGCACAAGCACAAAAAGAGAGTAAGAGGGGTTGAGGCTATGCAGTGACTGCTTCTGAAGCACACATCTCAGTGGAAAAAAAGTAATGTATGTGCGTGCAAACAACAAAATGAGTGTTTAATTATTTGTTTTTCTTTTTATTAAATTATTGTTAGTATGGAAGAAAAGTTTCCAGTTAACTCTGGAAACGTCCCTCCACCTTCTCAGTCTACCAATCTACTTTCTCATCAGCTAAACTATGCTCCAAATATGAATAACGGACTAAGAAGGAAGACAAAAGAGACCTTGAAAACTGCTCCTAAAGTAATACAGATTGTTATAAATCATAAGCTAATAAAATTACAAGCTAAAATTAGAGCGTATTCTGGGTCTTACATCGACTTGTTCTAACATCCTAGATACAGCAAATGATTTGATAGCCTATGCAGCAGGCGCTGTAGTTGTTATTTACAACCATAAACGTAACAAACAGATTGCTTTATTATACCCACCAGCTGTCACACAGTCCAGTAATACCAATGGCAATACCAATCTAAACAATATGTCAAATATGAATGGTCAACCTTCTTCAGCACCCATGATGATAACCCCTCTTGGAGGTACTACCAACAATTTACTAAACAATGATCTCGTCTCGTCCACTCAAAATAATCCGAATGATGAAAAGAAAGCAACATCTGCAGGCAACCGTGCAAAACCTATTAGCTGTCTGGCATTTTCACCTGATGGGAATTACTTGGCTGCTGGAGAAGTAACACGATCTTTCGATACACATAAAATGTATTTATAGAATTTAATATAGATGGGACATCAACCTCGAATTTTGATTTGGGATGTCAAGGAAAAAAAATTGCTTCGAGAATTCAGATCTCACAAATTTGGTGTACTTGCACTATCGTTTTCACCTAATATGAGATACTTGGTCTCTGTTGGATTTCAAGTAAGTTATGGGCAAATATGCATGAAAATCTAATCTGCGCTTTTTTTGTAGCATGATGGCTATCTTTATGTTTGGGATTGGAAAAAAGGCACTAAATTGGCTGGAAATAAAGTGACCAGCCGAGTAAATGCTGTATCATTTGCAAAAGATGGCTCTTATTTCGTTACAGCAGGTCTGAGACATGTCAAATTTTGGTACCTGGATGCTCGCGGTCGAATACCGAAAAAAGTAAATTTGCTTGTCATTAATCTCTCTAATTTCTTGTTACTAGGGCAATTTGGCTTCAAGAGAAACTCAAGTATTAGATGGTAGATCAGGCATACTAGGCGTATTACGTGATGCCAACTTTGTTGATGTGGCCTGCGATCGGAATAGCAACATTAATCACACCTATTTTATCACTGACACTGGTATATTGTGCATATTCAAAGAAGGGAGAGTGATTGAAAAATGGGTGGATCTTCAAGTAAGTATTTATTGAATGATTCCTTTTTTCTCATTATTTTATAGGTTAAAAATGCTTATTCTATTGCCGTCTCTTCTAATTATGTGATCTGTACTTGTTCAGAAGGCGTTATTCGGTAGAGTATAGTATAACTAAATACATTGTTTCCTTATATTTCTTTACGATAGCTTGTTCGAGCCAGGAACATTAAAGTATATGGGTATTCTGCCCAAACCCCATCCTTTAGGCACTGATATCACTTTGATCACTTCACCTGACATGATTCGTTCAGCTGATTCGACATTTTATCCGGATGCAGTAGCTATGGTCTATGATGAAAATGCTTATCGAGTTACATGTGTTTATTCAGATCGCAGTTTTTATGTTTGGGATATTCGTGATTTAAAGAAGATTGGCAAGTATAGAAGTTTTATTTTCCACAGTGACTGTGTATGGGGTATAGAAGTAAGTAATTAAGTGTCTTGTAAGCAAAATCATTCATTCTTCCTTAGCCCTGCCCTAATGTTGAAAAGGAGGACAATGCTATTCCTCCCAATTCATTCGCAACTTTTTCAGGAGATGGAACCATTCGTATCTGGAATCTCGATAACCCTATTCATACCACCCTATCCACTTCAACATCTCCCTTATCTCCTCCTCCCCAACCACAGCAACCACAGCAGCAATTCGGTAATGCTATCATGTCGCCTAGTAGTAGTACAGCAGTTGGTTTAAATCGCCGTAATATTTATTCCCGAGAACTTGTCAAAATGCTCTATGTTGATCCTGATGCTGCCGAATTTGCAAAATTAAGGAGCGACTTTGGTATGTTCTAGATAGCCAGAGTCCAATTTAATTAGATTTCCCTTAGAATTTAATGAAGATCAGTGCCCTGACTTTGGCATACGATCCTTAAAGATGAGTCCAGATAGCCAAATGATGGCAAGTGGTGACCGTAATGGGAATTTGCGAGTACATGATATGAACACTTGGGAAATGTTGACATACCAAGAAGCCCATGATTCAGAAATCTTGTCTATTGACTTGGCAACATCAGCAGATAAAGGTAAATTAAAAAACGTCTGGTATGATGATTAACCATGAAATACAGAGGCACCGAGTTTGATAGCCACTGCAAGTCGAGATCGACTCCTTCATATATTCGATGTTAAATCCAAATTTCAGCTTGTTCAAAGTCTTGACGATCATTCATCTTCCATTACATCTGTGAAGTTCTCTAAAGATGCTAGTCGACTTATCAGCTGTGGTGCTGATAAAGGCATTATCTTTCGAAACAGAACACACCCCGTCACACCTTTTCATGATTCTACACCTCGTCCATTCTCTACTTATCACAATTACTCTGGAAGAAGCACAGTGTTTGATATGGCTTTGGATGTCAGTGGTAGATATATTGCTACTGTTACAGGAGAACGTAAACTTTATGTGCTTAGTGTTGAATCTGGTAAACCATTCAGGATCTGTAAGCCAGAAACATCGGACGAGATTGGAAAATCATCTGAAAACTCAGGCGGAAGCTTGATTAACATTGATCTCGACCCATTTTCTGGTACTTATGCAGTGACAAGTGGGTCAGATCGCTGCATACGTCTGTTTGATTTGACCAACAGTTCTTGTATTGAAAAAGTGTGTGCTCATTCAGAACTTATTACCTCCGTTAAGTTCATTCGAACTAATGTAGAAGAGAATGGACTTCGAGTCATCAGCACTTGTTCTGACGGTACTGTTTTTGTATGGAAAGTAGGACAAGAAATAGTCGCCAAAATGACAGCCCGAGCAAGTGATCGTGATCTAAAGATGAGACAGCGCGCAGTGGAAGAAGACAACCTTGGCGACTTAGACGAAAGAAAAGCATTTGCGTTAGGGTTACAGCAAAACAACAAACGACTTCGACGTGTATCCACAGTGACATCTATAAGACCCACAGCCAGCATCTCTCAGATGATTCGACAAGGAGAACGAAAAACCTTTTCGACCATGTCGCCTGCAGAACAAAAATACGACGATCTATACAAGAAGATTGCAGCTTCTTCTAATCGTCGAAATAATGGTGACAACAATCAGTTGCAAGTACAAACACAATCCAACGATAACTCTACATCGCCAGGTCCTTCTTCGCCCAATAATAATAATAACCGAACAAGCAGACCATCGCTTGTAAGAAAAGAACCTAGAATCATTAATGGTCCTGCACAAGATACGCCCAACAATGGAAGAAAGTCACCATACGAACGCATTGCAAAACTAGATAGACTTTATAATGGACTTCCTACAAATGGTGGTAGGGAGAGAACAATGAGTCAAGCTATGCCACCGGTTGGCATGGCTTCGGCTCGTAATCCATTACAACAACAGCAAGCATTAGCTTTAACAGGGAATAGCAATACATTGCTGAACAGTGGAAGAGTGAATCCCGTATTGCGTCGTGCTATGTCAAGAGACGCTTTACGAAAAGAACACGAGTTAAAAAAATCGCCTACTTCACTCACCTCAGCTGCTAAGCAATTACAAAGAGATCCTTCTACATTAAACCGAAAGAATAGTCAACCAACATTCATGAATAACAGAAGAGTAAGCGATCCTCAAGTAGAGGCAGGCATGCATGATAATGATTCACATACATCAGTGTCCAAAAGTCCAAAGGCATTTGTAGTTGAAGGTGAAAATGATGTAGTCATGCTTTCAGAAAATTCTAACTTCTCAATAGAAGAAGGTTCAGATAATGATGCAGATATAGAAACTGTTCGAGATGAAGAAGACGAGGAAGAGGAAGATGAGGACGAAGACGAGGAAGAAGAGGAAGAGATTATATTCACTCCGGAACAAGACAAAATAATCAAACCATTTGAAGTTTCGATGCATTTAGCACCTTCTACATGTGACGATGAAGAAGAAGATGGAAGAATTACGCCTGTATCAGATAATGACGCTAATATCATCAAAGCAGATGAAGAAGAGGATGGCTCAAGTGAAGAAAACGTAGACGATGCTATTAATCGAGACATTGTCGCCAGAGAGCCTCCCCGTGTTTCAATTTCTATCAGCAGGACAACAAGCTCTGTGGCCAATAGTAATCGCCGTCGAAGTGGTCTTGTTGACAATAACAGACATTCGATGGACATGATGATTACACCTTCTTCTCCTCCCGATATTCAAGACGAGTCTATACCTGAATTACCCATGTCTCCCAACAATCCTGCATTTAAAGAGATTCAAAAGAAGCTAGAAAAAGCAACTAAAAGACAGAGTCTTACAGCTCGATTCCTTTCTTCTCTTGGAAACACAAAATCTGTTATAGACGGAAATGAATTACAAAAACCTCTGTTGGATCAAATCATTACTTCCTTTCAAGAGTCGCAACCAAAACAACAGAAGACATCAAAAGCACATGTACCCGACGAAAAACTTGTCATTGATACCACTCCAGTTGGTGCTGTAGAAAAGAATGTTGTACCATTGAAGAGCAACATGTTTAAAGAAATACCTAAAGAGAAGGAAGCGCCTCTAACAGACAAGAAAGAATTAGAAGAAAAAGAATTGACAACAGAGAAGGAAGAGTCTCTACCAAACAAGAAAGAATTAGAAGAAAAAGAATTGGCAAAAAGAATCTCTCAATAGAACTAACACCAACAGAAGAAGACAATTCGAAGCTAGAGAATGCATTAGCTGATTTAGATGGTGTTGCGATTCTATTGGACAGCGTTTTAGATGTATATGCATCCATGAAGTCTTCCCGAAATAAAGAAGCACTGTCGACTATTGAAAACAAGTTGACGGGGGTTGCAGATAAAATAGCCCAAATAGTACAACCCACCCCTTCCTCTTCACCTAGAACACTCCATATGCTCGAAAAGTATTCTTCTCTGTTGGTCAACATGGTGGAAAGCAAATTGAATAAAACCGATTGAACAATACACTCTATTAATATGTAATAAACTAATTCTGTAAAATAAAAAAAATCACATTTTTTGATCAAGTTAAAAATAGAAATAAAGTTCTGAATAAAACAACTTGAACTCTGGGCTGAGTGTGTGTAACACGTTGTACTACTTTGTACTCGACAAGTTTTTTATGCAAAAAGACGTGGTCAAAGCAAGTTTAGTAAAATATAATAATAATAATAATAATAATAATGCAGTTGCTCCCTCTTGTTTCTTATTCTAAGCAGTAACCTGGAGCTTTTCTGAAATGATAAGAGGTGGCTTTTCAACCAGTGTTTCTTCATGTTTGTTGTCCAAAGATAGAGACACAAGGTTAGTAGTAGGTAACACTTGTTTTGTTTTTTTCATTCCCAATTCAAGATGTCTATACAAGCAAAAAAAGCAAGTGAGTAGCCTTTTCTCTCTTTTTTTTTTTCTTGTCTACTTACCCATACCAAGCACCACCCACAAGTGTTAGGACAATGCCAAAAGAATTGGTTGCGTTGATAGCATAATCAAAAATGATCACGGACAAAACGATCGATAAGACTTGTTTAACGTTACCTGCTACTGTCATTGTGAGCGCGCTTGTTTTCTTGTTGGCTGTAAAACTGACGATATTCAAGCCAAAAGCAATAGCGCCATTGAGCAACAATCCAGAAGCTAGACTCCAATTCATGTTCTCGGCCGAGAATGTTTCTAATCTATCCAATTCTCCTGTGATGTGTGCATAGAAAATACATTGAATGAAAGCAAGTGGCGACATGCGAAACAGTAAATCAAGAGGATTTAGTTTGAGACGTCCCACTTGAACTCGATTGGTAACAATTGTCTTTACAGAAGCTAGTACCGCACCTAGCACAGTAAGAAAAAATCCCATATAAGTGAAGGTATATTCATCACATGTAGCAAATGCTACGCCAAGAACCACCTTGAATGCATGATTAAGTAAAACATATACAAATTATTGTCTATGTACACTTACAGGGAGTAAAGATAGGTAAATCTTGGCAGGATAAGATTTTTGAAGAAAGACAATAGAAATCATCACCGTGAATACAGGCGTCATTGCGCGCACCATTTGATGAAACTAGAAAACATTTAGGCTTAATTTTCAATGTCTGATTCACTTACTGGAACAGAGACAAGACTCCTATATAAAAAACAATTAGCAAATCTATTTTAAGATCCCATGCTTAGAAGCATAAAGAATACATACAGAGAAACATTGCTAATCGCTATATTGATTGTGTATAATACAGAAAACAGAACCATGATGATGTTTTCTCGATCACCTAGCTTTGCCGGTGTAAAGACTCCCATAAAATAAAGAACATAGCAACCTATGGTTCCGCATAAAGTGTGAATGGCCGTTAATGTATAAGGAAATCTGAAATTGTTAAGAATAATCTTGTTGTAAAGTGTCAAGGAAAGGTTTAAAACAAAGTAAAAACCCAGCCACATATAACCAGAGTCTATCTTTATATTGCTTGCCATTTTTGATATGTTGAGAAGAAAGAGAGAGAAAAAGCGAGAAAGAGAAAGGGCTGTGTCTTTTATTTGATTCTAAATTAAGTATTTTTTTAAAAGTTTTAGTTTCGCTTTGTAAAATCCTTGTCTCTCTGTAATTTACAAGTTACTCACAAGGGTTCGGAGCCTATTGGCACATGCAAAAAAAGCTCTTTTTTAGATATAGCAATTAAGCTCAATAGATCCTACTGGCCATGTTTTGCTTTTGTTTCATCTACGCCTTTGTCTTTTTTACTTTTTCCTCTCCTTTAGTTCTAATCACAATGAGAATTAAAAATAAATGCTTTTTTTTTTATGGCAAAGCATTGACCAATCATTTTTTCTTAATGGCGCAATCAATTGGCTTTGAAAAAAGGGTTATTGCCATCATATGTATGTTATCGTACATGAATTAGTAAGTTTTCCAAAATGACATTTGTACTCTCTTGAGTAACATGCAACAGTTTATTGAAACCACTGAATGTCGAACGCCTGGCTGTATGAATATGACATTGTTCCGAGCTTTAATCGGCTTGTCCAACATTTGTTTTTTTTTAAACAAGTATATGGACACAAGGGAACGATTAAATTGCCCAGTTATTGACATTTTATATAGCGTCATGATCTGCATAGTTACCCGGACTTGCGCGCGCGCATAAGGACAAATCAATCCTGTCAACAAATTCTATATCTGCGCCTTGTTAGGAATAAAGGTAACACGTCAAAATTCTGAATTATTTCGTAGTACAATGTAAAATAGGGGTAAAATCCAGTCTTTATTCAAGCAGAATGAAACAAAAAAAAACGTGCCAGTATCACCATTATGTTTAATTACTGATATTAATTGTATGTGGCAACAAAAAAAAGAGAGAGGAGAAAGTTTATTTTTCATAAAGAAAATTATTTGCTGTAACAAAACAAAAAGAAGAATTTGAGTGTCAATTAAATCAAGTACAAACAAGAGACCTATTACTTGATTAGTAAATTTTGCTCGGGTATGTGAATTGTATAAAAAAAAAGGACAGAGTTTCTTTGCAGCCCTCCTTTTCTTTTTCTTGTTTGTTACTGTTACTTCTTTCTCTCTTCTTTTTTTTTTATTAGAACAAAAAAAAGTGAAAGAAAGGCTTTATAGCTTGTATTATTTATCTGTCTATTATATGTGTTCCATATACACAACGATATGTTCAATGGTGCATCTAAGAAAAGAATGCCTCAATTGTTTGCAACAGATATAAACAAACTGTTTAAAAATAAGATTCATATCAAATCATGGTGGCGTCAATTCAAAGTGAATAAATCAGACAAATCATCCAACAGCTCCTCCTCTCAGACAACGCTTGATTGGAGATCACTTTCTCCTGATCGACCGCCACTCCCATTCTTCCTGTCCGAAAATTCACCCATCTCTTCAAACACTTCACTCCATAAATTGATTGACGCTGCAAATAGACAGCCCTTACCACATACTCATAATAATAATAATACCACCGCCTCTAATTCTAATGACAACACTAATCATAAGCATTCAACATTAAGTAATACAACTTTAGACATACCCATAGACTACAGTAATAAGAAAAAAAATCTCAAGGTAAAATATGCTTACGATACGCGTCTGTGTTTGTGCCACGTTTGTTGTATACACATGTACATACATTGATCATGTCATACATTAACGGAGCTGCAACTTCCGAATTTATCTGTTTATTTTGATTTTATTTTCTTTCTTTATTCTAATCCTCCTTCTTTTGTTTTATAGCCCATTCACCGAGCAAATACTGAAGATAGAAGCTATCAACCCTTGTGTCCTATTCTCGAAGAAAGTGAAACAGTCATGTCCGAATCAACAGAATCCAATAAAGTGTCACCTCAAATAGGCGAAAATGATGTAGAAGATCGTATTGCAAACTCTTCTCCTTCCCCCTCTTCCTCTATCAACGGCATTGACCCTACAATTGCAATTGAACGTCCTTTAGCACAACAAGAGACATCCATCATCAGTTCCGAGAATACATCTTCAATCTCTCCATCACTACAACAACAACAAACATGGAATGAGATTAAATCAGTCCAAAAGACACCTAGTGATAAATACATGCCACACGATATTGTGGGTAATGAAGAGCTCTGTAAACGCAAATTTGCTAAAATGGTGCTGGCAGCCAACAAATTCCAAACAGGACAATCGGATAAACCTACAGAGATGACACTATTATTTGATGTCCATGGCAACATTGATATGATGCGTATGGTTCGCCATAGCAAAACTGAATTACACAAGTTTGTGGGTAATTCACAATACGTTCCACCCGAATTATTCAATAGTACAAAATACTCGAGTGAATTGGGTGATATCTGGGTGCTTGGTGTATTTTTGTATCGAATGTTGGTTGGGAAATATCCATTTACAGCTGCAAATGATCAACAGCTGTTTAAAAAAATGTTACATTGTGATTTTAGTATTCCAGCTGAACTGTCTGAAGGTATGTTGGTTATAAACACTATTTCTGATTCTAACTTGAGTTTTAGATGCCAAAGATATTCTTCGACGTATGTTAGCTCCAGATTCAATACGTGCCTCATTAGATTTGATTATTTATCACCCATGGATAAAGCCTTACCGTCATCTTTTACTTGATCACTATACCAGACCTGGTTCCACCATGGGAACTAACCACACCCGGGCTCCTTTTGTGCAGCAACAACAACAACAACAACAACAACAACAAAGAAGAAGTATTAGTTATAAGCCTTCAAGAAGGTCAAACCCATCTACATCTACTTCAACAACAATGCATGAACATCAACCTAAAAAAGCCAAACATCACAATACAAAGTTCTTTAGGAATGCAATCAAGCTTATTTTTCAAGGACCATTCCCTCCACCCAAAAAACCTTATCAAGATCTATCTCATCTGGGTACTCGAGAATCTGTCTTTGCTAGATATAAAAAATAAGCCAGTGTATATTATATTTGTACCATATAGTATTTATTAAATGTTTTTGGATCTCCTTTTTCGGCTAAACAATGAACAAAAGAGAGAAAGGATTTACAGATGTTTATGAAAGCAATGATTACAATAGCCTTTTTTAAACAAATTTTCTATATAATCATGACATTCACATTCTGGACATGCATGATGGGTTATCATTTGTTCAATATTAGAATCATCTACAGATGTTGGTTTGATATAATGAGGTTCTGAAGTAGCCACACGCAGTGGGGGAGGAGGAGGAGGGGCTCTCTTGGAACGGTTTCTTGAGAGACTGGATGTTCGAGAGGTCGTGACAGCAGGAGAAGAAGCAGTCGTAGGTGGTGGTGGTGGGCGTCGAATACTACTGGTGGTATGTAGAGGAGGAGCAGCGGGTGATTCTAAGGATAATGGGTCATTTTGAATAGGCGTTTCATTGTGATGAGCAACACGAGGATTGGATAGCTGATGTTGATCTATATCGTCTTGATCAACCGTAAACGACGGTTCAATAGTGACGGGTGCTTTTATGTAATCTTCAGTATAATTGACAGGGAAAATACCACGTTTTGCATTGATTTCACCTAACCACCAGCCTTTATCAATTTCGTTGACAACTGCAATAATATCACCCGTCTTAAAGGAAATTTCATCATCGTTTTGTCCAGTAAAGTCAAATAAAGCCTTTCTGTGTTTTTCATATTCTTCAGAAACTAATAGAAAAATAAAATGAGCATAACCCTGTTATTTACTTATGTTACTTGCATTGTTTTGAAGGTGGTGTAAGTGCACTGCTAGAAGAAACAGAAGCATGGTCTGGAATGATAGCATCTTTGGCCTGATGAGCAGAACCAGAAGAAAAGGTATCTATACTGTTATCTCGAGCCATCTCTTCGGCACTAGAAACAATAGAGGCCCTTTGTTGTGATGGTGGCTGTGGTAGCGGTGCATCTATAGCAGACAAATGAGATACAGCAGAAGCTCTTGCCATGACATTATTCATCAATTCATGAGGATCAGAATTCGAGCCCTGACCCCAAGTCTTTTTAATCGCCTCTAATAATTCTTTGGCTTGAGTATGATATGTACATTGGGCTTCTATTAAACCCAAAAGGGCATCTCTATGTTCATTCTAAACAGCCCAATGAGATTCGTATGTTACTATGACAACTTACCTCAAATTCTTGCATGTAAGCCATTTTCTGTATTAAATCATGCTCCGTCTCTTCATATTTAATCCTTGCAGCTTGCATTTCTTGTTCCAACTCCGGTTTTTCCTTTTTAGCCTTATTTAAACGATTCAATTTAGAATCATAGTCTAATCTACGAGACGCTAATTTCTTTCTGAGTGAATCGTATTCTTTGTACTCTTGAAGACCATTGGTTAAGATTGTCATGTAACCTGTCTTGATGTCGTGTGCAAATGCTTCTTGTAATGCTGCAATACGTGTCTCTGCCTGTCCGAGATTGATTAAAGCGATTCCTATCAACTTATCAATCATCACAATTTCAGCCACATGGGCGTATTATACCTAATGCAGAATCGTCGGGAAACACAGTACCATAATGATAAAGACATGTGCCTAATACTTCGAATGGCATCATTTTATTCTTGGCGTCCTCAGGTGAGGTCTTTTTCTTGAGAAGATAGGATTGCACCAATTCCACTGAGTTAACAACATTATCGTAGCCGTCCCTTCTATTTTCTGTTTCTTGCTCGAGTTGCTGAAAGTCTTCAGTCTGAAGTGTCACTTTGGCTCCACCAAACCTTTCACCTGTCCACTAAAAAAACATTTAAAATAAAATAAAGAAAAAAATAGCTTTTTATATGTTACCTGCTTGAACTTGCCAAGGTTTTTTATCATGTTATTGTTGCAAGATGAGCTACAAAGAAAGAAAAAAAGAAAAAAAAAGTCGGAAACTTGTCAAAGCAAAAAATTAAAAAAAAAGATCATCACACTACTAGCTCTCTCCTCTGCTCTCTTTCTCTCTTTCTCTCTCTTAGAGCCGACGTCATGAATCACGTGGAAAGTATTAGATTTGCTTATGGATTTAGACGGCGCTACTTTCCATCTTCACAGCAACTGAAGTCTTCTTTTTTTTTTCCTTCTTTCTCTTTTTTTAACTGTATTATTTAACAAAAAGAAGAAAAATGGCACCAAGCACACTCTTCCGCTCGGAGGAGATGTCTCTTATTCAGTTATATATCCCTGCTGAAGTAGCTCAACCTTGTGTTGCTGAACTAGGTGAACTTGGCAAAGTGCAGTTTAGAGACGTAGGGCTATATATAAAATACAAGTGTGTGTTTATACTCATGATATATTAGCTCAACCCTGAAGTCAACGCTTTTCAACGCTCTTTTGTAGCAGAAATAAGAAGATTAGATGAAATGGAGCGTCAATGTCGTGCGTATTATGATTTAATTTTTTTTTATTTGCGGGATAAGTGTTTCATCTTTAGAAAGAGAAACACACACACAAAAAAGGGGGAAGAAATGTTACGCGTTTAGAGACTAATTCATGACTAGGTTTCCTTCAAACACAACTTCAGAAAAACGATATACAAGCTCGCCCTTTGACACCTGCTGCTTATCGTTCCCGTGCTCGCTCAGCTCAGGAAGTCGATGAACTCGAAGAGAATTTAAAGGAATACGAAGGTCGTATTTCTCAAATGAACTCTTCTTATGAATCCCTTCAACGTCGCTATCTTCAGTTGACAGAACTTCGTCATGTCTTGAGAGAATCTTCTACCTTTTTTGAACAGGCAAGTGGAAATAATTTTATGTCATTGAGAGTGCTTATCAAAGCGCATAGGCCGAGTCTAGACAGGAAACCATTCGCAACTCATTGGACGAACAAGACGATTCTGCACCGCTATTGGAAAACGACGTGGAACAAGTTCATTATGACCTTGAGCATATGCACCTTGGCTATGTTACAGGTGTCATTGCTCGTTCCAGAATGCAAACATTTGAACGTGTACTCTGGCGCTCACTTCGCGGTAACTTGTACATGAAATCTGCTGAGATTGATGAGCCTATTGTCGATCCTGACACGGACAGTGTGGTCGACAAAAATGTCTTTTGTATCTTTGCCCATGGTACTGAAATTATTGCCAAGATCAAAAAGATTTCTGAAAGTTTGGGAGGCACTTTGTATTCAATTGACGATTCTGTGGATAAGCGTCGTGATTCTCTTTTGCAGGTCACTTCTCGTATTGAAGACTTGAACAATGTTCTTTCTACCACAAATCAAACGCGTCGTTCAGAATTACTCAAGATCTCTGAAAATGTGACAGCCTGGACAACCATTGTTCGTAAAGAAAAGGCTATATACCACACTATGAACTTGTTTAATTATGATGTTAATCGTAAATGTCTTATTGCTGAAGGCTGGTGTCCTACAAATGATATTGCCCTTGTTCAGCAATCCTTAAAAGATGCCACTGTAAGTTTTATATCGTTTTGTAAATGGTACTTATATGATCTATAGGATGCTTCAGGCACAAGTCTTCCTTCCATTCTAACTGAATTGCAGACTAAAAAGACACCTCCTACATACCACCGCACCAATAAATTCACAGAAGGTTTCCAAGGTATCATTGATGCCTATGGTATTGCCCGTTACCGTGAAGTAAATCCTGGTCTGTTTACCATCATTTCTTTCCCTTTCCTTTTCGCGATGATGTTTGGTGATATTGGTCATGGTGCCATCATGTTCTTAATTGCTCTCTACCTCTGCCTTAACGAAAAGAACTTGGCCAAACAAAACGGTGAAATCTTTAGCATGTTCTTCAGTGGTCGTTATATGATGTTAATGATGGGTCTCTTCTCTGTCTTTACGGGCGCTATCTATAACGATGTCTTTTCTCTTTCCTTGAATCTCTTCCAATCTGGTTTTGATATGCCTTCAAACTATACTTCAACTGAGACTGTTGAATCTTTACCCAATGGCCATGTCTATCCTTTTGGTCTTGATCCTGCCTGGCATGGTTCTGAAAACTTCTTGTTGTTTACCAACTCTTACAAGATGAAGCAAGCTATCATAATTGGTGTGATTCATATGTCATTTGCTGTCTGCTTGAATGTGTTTAACCATGTTTATTATAAGCGTAAGGCTTTTGTCTGGCTTGAATTCTTGCCTCAAATCTTGTTTTTGGAATCTATCTTTGGTTACCTCATTTTCTGTATCATGTACAAATGGAGTGTAAACTGGTGGGAACTTGATTCTGAGGGCCATCATATCCACAACCCTCCTCCTAATCTCTTGAACATGTTGATCTATATGTTCTTGACACCTGGTACAGTGAATCCTGAAGAACAACTTTATCCTGGCCAAGGCCCTGTTCAGTTGTGTTTGATTCTACTTGCTGTTGTGTGTGTGCCCTGGATGTGGTTTGCTAAGCCATTCTATCTTAAACGAGAAGCCAGCAAGCATCATTATGAGACAGTGGCTAATGATGATACTATGGATGAAGAACAACATGCTGTTCAAACCACTGAAGATGATGATGAAGAAGAAGAGGTAAGAATAAAATAGAAGCAGTATCTATGTTACTTATAATATATTTAGTTTGAATTCAGTGAAGTCATGATTCATCAAACTATTCATACCATTGAATTCTGTCTTAACTGTATTTCCAACACTGCTTCTTATCTTCGTCTTTGGGCTTTGTCTCTTGCCCATGCCCGTAAGTTACAATTGAAATGACATGTATTGTTATTCACACACTTTCTCTCTTGACAGAATTATCCAGTGTCTTATGGGACATGACACTCAAGATTTGGTTTGGTTTTACTGGACCACTTGCTGTCATTGGTCTCTTTATTGGTTTCTCTATGTGGTTTGTATTGACACTTGCTATTCTTTTGTGTATGGAAGGTCTATCTGCTTTCCTTCATGCTCTTCGTTTAATGTGGGTTGAATTTGATGGTAAATTCTATAATGGTGATGGTATCAAATTTGAACCTTTCACTTTCACTACTGTATTGAATCCTACAACAGAATAAAATAATGTTGATGTCATGCACCTATATTGTAAACAAAATAATTCCCCCTCCCTTTTTTCTTTTCTTTTCTCTCTTTCTCTTTTTTTCACAAGTATGACAGACGTCAACGAACCCTTGTTGATACGTAAGAAAAGAACAGACGAAGACCAACATAGTTTTGGTGAACAAGATGAGGAAGAAGAAGGACTTCGAACTGACTATGGAAGTGGTGTCTATCGTTATCCAGCTTATCTTCAACCAGGCCATTTTACTTCACTAGAGAAACTCATGTTCTTTTTGAGTTCTATCTTACTTATCTTACTATTTATTTTTGTTGGTCTGTATGCTAGAAGTAGTCAAATGGATGAGGATCCATTGATTCCTTTGCCAACCAAACCAGATAATCATACAAAAGAACAAGTAAGAAAGCGTATTTTATCAATATGGGATTATTGAATATATGTATGTTAGGCTTATTGTTTAGAATCAAATTGCATTATTACTGCAGCACAAATATTAGAGGTAGAAATAACAAGAAAAAAAAAAAGAATAATGACAAATGCGTTTTGTAGGATGTTGACCGAGAATTGGATCCTTGTGATGATTTTTATGCTTATACATGTAAGTTCCCTTTTTGGGTTTATATTGAAGTCTAATGATATGCTATTTATATAGGCAATAAATGGCAGGAAACGCATTTGATACCCGATGTTAAATCAAGCATTGATATGCCATCTATCACCCGTGATGCTATCCGGCATCGCCTTGACCAGATCTTAAATCGCGATTTTAACAGATTACATAAAGTTTCCCCTCACTTGCCTGATCCAGATCGTATTTTGGACAGACAACTGTTCACGAAACTAAGTGATTTCTATCATGCCTGTATGGACCAAGATATGATAGAGAAAGTCAATATCAAACCACTGTATCCTCTGTTTAGAGCCATTCGAGACTTTATTCCATTAAAGCAGGATCCAGTGGATGCTGAGGGACTTCATCGTGCTCTGTCTTATTTGGCAGACAGGAACATTTGGACTCTATTTGAAATGAAGGTGGAACCTGATCCTTATCAGCCTACTCGGCCCAGTTTATCACTATCGCAAGGACAAGTGGGTTTGCCTGATCGAGCACTTTATGATGATCCTGATACCATGTCTGTGTATATGCAAGTAGTAACATCCATGCTTGATTACGTGTTTAAACAAGACAGTACAAATGAATTTGGCTGGCGGTCATGGAGTGCAGTGGCTACTGCTCGTCGTATTATTGAATTCGAAAAAAAAGTGGCTACTACCATAGTCCAGCGTCAGCCTGAATCATGGTCCTTGGAACAACTGGAACAAGCAGCACCTGCTATCCAATGGACACGGTTTATAGAACAACACAGACCTCAGTTGCCTGTACCGACCCATATACTGGTCCCTACATCTGGTTTTATGGATCACCTCACTCAAGATGTCCTCAGTACAACAAATCCTCGTACCTTGCAAATGTATTTCATTTGGCGTACACTATGGAAATACTTGGATGCACTTGACGAGCCACTCGTAGCATTGAAGCGACCATTAGATGTCAAGTTAAGTGGTATTGAACCCAGAGCCACTCTAGAAAGACGCGATGTGTGCATTGATTTGATAGACGCCAGTGCATTGGGTATCTTGATGGGTCGCTATTTTGTATTGGATCATGAAGATCGGATCTTGAAATCAAAAGCAAGCATACAAACCATGACGGCCCATATTGTCAAAGCATTCGAGTCTCGTGTGTCTTATTTGGACTGGATTCCTCAAGGAGATGACCAAACACGACACGAAATCCTTCAGAAATTGGCCACGATGGAATTCCAAATAGGGTTTCCATCTGATCTGCAGTCTGTGATTTCATTGTCCGACTATCTGGGTCCTATTCAGATGGACAAGACGGATTTCTTTGGTAATATGATGCGATCCAATCAGCATCAAGTAAAGCAAACGTGGCAATTACTCCAACAGCCTATTGATAGACATGCATGGAAAGTAAATGCGCATAGTGTCAAAATGGCTTATGATAGAGAACTCAACAAAGTAAAAGTATAGATGGTTGAATACGTTGCTGATCTCATTTTAGGTGATGATTCCTGCTGGACTGTTACAATTACCTTATTTTGATCCGGAAGGTCCTTCGTATTTGTATGTCGGAGCAATAGGGTGGATGATTGGTCATGAAATCATGGTAAGTGTAGCCCAATCATATCTGATGAACGAATCGTCTGACCCCACGTGTGACTGAAGCACGCATTTGATACACTAGGAAGAAGGTATAATGACAAGGGGATCTATGGACAATGGTGGTCCAACAATACACCGGATCAATGCCTTGTCTCTCAATACCAAGCATATGGTGTAGATGGAAACAAAACATTGGATAATAATATAGCAGATCATGGAGGTTTAGTCTTGCTAGAGTCTCTTATTGATCATTTTGAGAATATATCGATACCTGGTCTAAATCATCATTGGAACCAAGACCAACTTGCTTATCTTCAATTTGCTCGACTCAAGTGTAGCAAAAGCACAAAAGAACATAAAGTAAGTCAACTATAGACTGATGTCTGACTCACTTGTCTCTAGTCGCTTGTAAAAGATGTTGCTCCCGATCAGCTTCGAGTGAATGGACCATTGATAAACTCAAATCGTTTTGCCAAAGTGTTTGGTTGTAAAAAGGGCTCATTTATGAACCCAGTGAACCAAATAAAATGTCAGGTTTGGTAAATTATTATTATTATTATTTTCTTTTCGCTTTTATTTTTTTTTCTCTCTTTTTTTTTTGCGCACTATCTATATGAAGTTTGGCAAACAATTAGAAACAGAAGCAGAAGATATTCCTTCTGAATGGAGACCCTATCTTATTCAATATAAAGCATTAAAGAAAATGATTACAAAAGTAGCAGAAGAAATTGAAAGTAGAGGTCTTTCTGCTCTTTTACTTCATGAATGTCTTGAAGACGATATTACAATCAAACAAGAACCTGAAAGTAACACAATACCAAAGATAAAATATTATTTTATAGGTAAAAAAAGTTTAAAGAAAAAAAAAACTTATTTTTATTTATTTAGGAGAAGCACCTAATGTCAAACCTTGTATCGAATTTAGTTATGATCCTAATGAACCAAGAGTACAAGAAATGCTGTCTACTTTACTAGACTCTGAAAAAGACAACCAAATAGACCGAAAGCCCAAACTAGAATACAAAAGAAGCATTCATAACAAAGATGTTTTTTCCTTGTCTAACCGAGCCAACCAAGATGATCATTGTATTCAATCGCCTGCTATTAAATCACAAAGAAGACACTCGACTGCTCAACTTGTTAAAGAATTAGTCAATTTGGTCCTGAATGAACGAGAAAATCCGAAAGAACAAGCAGAAAAAGAACAGAGCGAATCAAAGACATTGATTGTCGAATTAGAACAAGATGATGAATTCTTTAAATTACTCTTGACTGAATTAGAACAAGCTGCTGAATTACAGGATGTTACTGCACAACAATTTGAAAAAGATATTTATACTTTGGAGAATAAAATGACTCGAGTGGTAAAAAGACAAAAGCAAAAGATCTGTGATTGACTTAAAATATAGGCTGCACCACAAAAATCAGATATGTATCATTGGCGCAAAATATTTTCCATCTATATGGACGCACAAATATTCCGTGGAAATACTGAAGTAGACCATACATTTCGGTCTGTAGAAAGAGCCAAGAAACAAATGACATGGTTTTTGGAACAATTAAACAGAGCAGATTTATTAAAGAAACTCAAAACAAAAGAATCCAAATCAGCCTTTGAACAGTTTATCAGTCTGAATACAGAATTGATTACCATCAAACATTATCAAATGTTAAATCAAACAGCCATGCGAAAGATCTTGAAAAAGCATGATAAACGAAGTGGATTGACTGCCAGCCAAAGTTTCCCCGAACTTGTTTCAACCGATCACTTGTTTAGTCCAAAACTAGCCAGTATGCTTTATGCAACAATCACCAACAGAGTGACAAACATTATACCACAACCTGAAGACTATGGTAACTAGATGGTTTTTGCATGAAAATAATCATCTGATGTATCTATTAGCTTGCCCCGTTTGTATGAGTGTTGCTTGGAGACCTATTCGTTTAGCTTGTCAGCATGTCTTTTGTGTTCGGTGCCTGATCAAAGCACAGAAACAAAAGATGGACAGTTGTCCACTTTGTCGTCATCCTACTGCTGTTCGTACTGCCACAGCGCTAAATTTAGACGAGGGTTTACAGAACTTTTTAAAACTGTATTTCCCACAGGAAATTAAGGAAAAGAAACGCGAGAACGAAAGGGAACAAGCAATAGAAGATGTCCAGGCTATGACTGGTAAACGATACACAAAAGAACAACTGATAAGAATGAGTCAACAATCTAATACCAAATGTCTTGTCATGTAAATAAATTGTATTATAGAGAAAAGATATATATATATATATAAGAAGGGTATTTACAAAAAGTATAGAAACTAAGGGTGATAAGGTGGTGGTGGTAATAAAGCACAGGATGTGCTTGAAGTAGAGACACCTTGTGTTTGTTGCTTTCTTTCTTGATATTGTTGCTGTAACAGTTTAAGTTGCAATTGGTATTGTTGCATCATTGGGCTTACATCTTCTATATGAGTGACAGCTGGTTTGGGTGGTTCAAAATCACTTGCAAATTGACCAAATCGACTGTCCTGTGTGTGATTCGAATGATGGCTATGTTGATGCATAGAATTTACTTGAGACATATGTGTATTGTTCTCTAGATCAATTGATCTGCCACTTGTTTGTGCTTTTAAGCGCTTCTTTTTACAGACAATAAATATGGTTACTGCTACAGCAATAGCTCCGACAATACCAATAGCTGCAGCAATGATATGAACTGTGGTAAATACAGGTGTATGTTCAGAATGACTGGCAAACGTAGAACCTCCTTCTGTTACTGCAGTTGATCTTTTTTGTAAACTATATAATTGTAAGCATTTATGCGGAGAAAGAGACAATAAAAAAGCAACTGAAGAGAAAGAAATAGGCTTACTCTTTGTTATGAAACAAGCTTCGTATTGGATTTAGTATTGTCTCCTTCTTCATAGAGAGTAATAAGAAAAGAAAAAGAAGAAGAAAAGAGAAAGAAAGAGAAACCCTTATTTAATATACAATTTCGGGACTCCAAATGAGTTGAGAAGAAGGTAAAGAAGGTAAAGAACGTCAGGAAAGTGCATGTTGATTTATTGTCCATCTTTATGAAGGTTTGAAAATTTGTGATTTACCGCTTGTATTGGGTAACTATAAAAAAAAAACCTCTTTCTTTTTATTCAGTTTGAATGCAAAAAATAAAATAAAATAAATAAATGTCATTTTGCTTTATTGTAAAAATGACATATTGGCTATAAAAATGAAGAAATAAAATGCAAGTATATAAATGGGGTTGTTATTACTCACACACAGGCTATTAATAGTCGTATATTCTCGAGAATCCATCAGGGTTGTCGAGAAGACTCCTGTTTTCTGTAAGATTCTGTTTTTGACAACTCTGTTTATAAACTCCGTATATCACAAAAAAAGTAAATTTACATGGCAACCATATATTCACACTCCTTGGTTTAGTTTCAAATGATAGTGTTACTCTAAGCAACCTTAATTGTCTTTATTGTTGAGATTTACGGAAGGGAGAAGTTAGTGTGTCCCAGAGACCACTAAAGGCTGATGTCCAAGAAGAACTAGTTGTTAATGGAGGACGACTTGTTTCCTCAATACCTTCCATACTAATCACTTCTTCTGCTTCTTTGGCTTGTTCTATTTTCACTTCTTCTTCTATCTTGATGTCTTCTTCTACTCTGACAACATCTTGATCTACTTTTTGAGCTTCATAATGTGTCTCAATAGTTGTCTCAACCTTGATTTCTTCTACAATCTCTTCTTGGACATCTTCAGATGGTTGACTGACAGTACGAACAGTCTCATTTGTTTCTTCCAAGACCAACTTTTCAGAAGAAGCATCTTCATCATCTTCATTTTCAACTGGTTCTTCATGTGTTATGATCTCTGTATTGATAATTGTCGTATCAAATGCTTCTATTTGCATATCTGGTATTTGATCATCCATAGGAATCACTTGTTGTTTTGAGTCAATCAATGCTTTAGAAGCCAAATCAATGGCTATCTTTTGTTCTTCTGGTGCTTTTCTTCCTGAAATGTGTCGCTATAGGCAAAATTAAATTGAAGAATGGGTGAAGCAACACTTTACCACTTTAGTTTCAGATGTTCTCTTTTGAATCAACTCACGGATCTTGGTTATTGAATCTTGGTAAAAAGCATTTGTGCTTTTTCCTTCAATGGCTGAACAATTAAATTAGAAAATGTGATTGACATAGATAGAATTACCTAAAGGCAGATCTCTGCAAGATGTGTTGATGATAAAAGGAGTGTCGGTTGTACCAATAATCTCAATGGCCTTCAAGGTGCCCTAGACATAGAGAGTGAGCCATGTCTGGTATTTAAGACATCTATATTTACCAAGACATAACCAAAGTCCTCATCTTGTAACTGACTATCTCTGACAAAGACTTGACTGCAGTTTCGTTCGTCATTCTCGCCAAAATAAACACAAAAAGCACCATTGTCTTCTTCAATAACTGCACCAATCCAAATCTTGACAAAAGGATCCTATCAAACAAATGAATTTGATGAATGTCATCTCTTTATACCTACATTTTCTTCGATTTCCTTAGGAGCAAGATCAAAGACATAAAAGTCATCAAGCACTATACATCAATCTAAGCATCATTCAATATAAAAAACGCGTTTAGAGTTACCATCTGATTTCTTTAGAGTCTTTTTTCTAGCAGGCTTTGGATCTCCTTTGCCTCTTTTTCTTTTTGTAGCTGCTTTCTTAACAGATGAGCCATCACTGTTGAGAGGAATAAAAGTTGGTACACGTAAATCCTTTAATTCTAAATCCTTTCTTGACATGGTGTTCTAAAAGGAAAAAAAAAAGAATAAAAAAAAGGGGGGACGAAATTAATTTTAATCACACAATGACATAATTTATGCTTTACTTAGCAATGGCACTGTTACCAAGCAACTGTTAAAAACCTTATTCTCGGATAACTATTGGAAATACGCACGCAATGGATTGGTGCGTGTATGTGAAAAGGTGAATAACCCATGTATTTTAAATTATATAAACTCATTTTTTATTTCATGTTTTTTCTTTATTTATTTTTCACCTCTTACATTAAATATAATGATCCCTATTCGTTCTGTAAGAACCATAACAACGCGTATGGGAAGACTATCCATGACACGTCCCAGTATGTCTGTCAAGCCACCTGTTATGCAACGATACTACACGACTAATGCTCCTCAACCGGGAAATACGGGAGGGGGATTTAGTCCTCTTCTTTGGATTGGTAAGCAATAGTTTGAATGAACCATATCTCAACGTAAATTATAGGTTGTATTTCTTTAGGTGGTGCATACACTTACTATCAAAAGCAAAGAGCAAACAGGATTGATGCATTACTTGAACAAGAAGAAGCTAAAAAACATGGCGACAACAAGGAAGAAAGTTCTTCGCCATCGAATAAGAACTCGGAAAAGGCAAAGGAAAAAGGAAAGCCTGCTGTCTCTGACGCACCTAAAAAGAACATTAATTATCAACAAGTGTACAATGACATTGCTGATTTACTCGATAGTAATCCTGAGTAAGCTTTTGACGACAATTGAAATAAGGAGATGTATTGACACGCCTTTAGTTATGATGATGGTTCTTATGGTCCTGTTCTTTTGCGTCTTGCATGGCATTCTTCTGGTACGTTTGATGCTCATGATAATTCCGGGGGTAGCAGTGGTGGTACCATGCGTTTCAGAACAGAAGCATCGCATGCAGCCAACAATGGATTAGAAATTGCACGCGATTTATTACACAAGCATATTAAGCCTAAATATTCTGAATTAAGTTACGGTGACATGTATACGTTGGGCGGTGTCGTAGCTGTTCAAGAACTTGTAAGTAAAAATAAGGGTTTTTTCTGTAGTTTCTTAATAGGACGTAGGGTGGCCCTGATATTAAATGGAGACCGGGTCGAATTGATGCAGATGAGAACAAATGCACGCCTGATGGTAGATTACCTGATGGGTCCAAAGAAGCCAGTCATGTTCGTGATATTTTCTATCGCATGGTAAGTTGAAAAAATCTAAATGTCAATAGAGATTCATTGTTTGAATGTGTAGGGATTTGATGATCAGGAAATTGTTGCTTTAAGTGGTGCTCATGTATTAGGCAGATGTCATCTTGATCGTAGTGGATTTGAAGGTCCATGGCAAGAAGCACCTACTTATTTCTCGAATGAATACTTTAAGGCTATTACTGAACGCGAATGGGTCAAGAAGAAGTTACCTAACGGAGGATGGCAATGGAGTGATAAACAAAATCCAGATATCATGATGTTACCAATTGAAATTACGATGCTTCATGATGAGAAATTGAAGCCCTATTTTGAACTGTATGCAAAGGATCAAGACAAGTTCTTTGATGATTTTGCAAAGGCTTTCAAGAAACTCATTGAATTAGGTGTACCTTTTACAGGAGAAGAAAAAGAATATGTTTTTAAGAGAAAAAACAACTAAAAAAACAAAACGTTAATTAAACAACCCATGTGTACTCTTTTTTTTTTTTGCCTCTTTATTTTTAGAATGAAGATAATGAAAAAACATTGTTAGCTATGCTTCTTTTTGGTTTTTTATTGGCTGATTCTCTGAATAGAAAATGTATGCACAAACATGCATTGTCAACGATCTACGAGTTAATGAATGTCAAAATACACTATGTTAAGAAACTTTGATTCAGAACTACATATATAAAAAGGTCTCTTGCTTGGACCCTTTTTTTCATCATTATTAACACTACAACATGAAGTTCTTTGGTTTAATTTCAATTACTGTAATCTCTTTCATCATGCCTGTTTATTCTTACTGTGTTTATATGATGGTAGATATACCAGAGATGGGTTATAAAATTCGTCAGACACCTATGAATGCAGGACTCAATTATTTTGCGTATGTATTTATTCAATGTTTATAAAGGAAAAAAATCTAACTTTTTTTACAAAAGACGGTTTGCTCGAAGCGATTTAAAGTCAGGCGAAAAAGCCTGTTGTCCTTATACAAACAGTGATTGTGTAAGGTCAGGTGGTCAGAATGATAAGGTTCAGATTGCTTACAGAAGACATTATAATGGGTTACAAGAATTCCCTTCAGTTGTGGATGTTCCCGGTGGTGGATGGGTTGAAATCCATGGTGATGCTGACCATGAATTGATTCTTTCTTTCAATCCTGATGGTACTTCATATGACGGTAACCCTAGAGTCGACCTTCAAGCTGGAGAGAATTAATGCTACTCTTTTTTTTTTCGCTATATATTTCTATCTCATATAAATCATACATTGTGTTCTATAGTTTGTGTCCTACATTTCCCACTTTGTGATATAATCCCTTCTTTTGTTTTTATGGCATATCAGTTATCGCATAAAGAGCCGTCAATGTTTTTTTGAAAATTTGCCCCATGTACCTTTCTTTCAAGCTTCTTAAATTGAAATATTCATAAAAGAACAAGAGTAGAGAGCCACTACTTATATTTACTAGCTTACGACATTCATTTTGATACAAGAAGAGTACTTTCTTCTGCACAACTTTGCTCATAATGTGTTATAACATCACTGCTCAACAAAACAATAGAAACTTGGGTAAGCTGCACTTCAGTCCCTTTCTTGACTTTTTCTAATGTTACGAAACGACCATTTCATACTCTATTTTTCTACATGTATTTTTTCTACCCAAATCTGGACTTCATATTATTCAATTCTAAATTCTGACAGCTACTTGTATCACCGAATACTTATTCTTTTACTTTAAATCCCAATATCACATTAGACTTTAGCACATATTGCTCATTCTACTTGTTAGTCAGCCAACGCTTGACATATCGTACCGCCTTTACAATGACTCATAAATTTATTATACTTGGACTGTCATAATTGCATTTTTGCAAGTCCAACATGACTACTTTAGAATAGATATAAATACTAGAACAGTTCAACTTAAATAAAAACATCCAAAAATCCACATTTTATCTTAGACTTATAATCTTACCTTACTTACTTTAAAACTAGAGTATTATCATATCATTTGTTTAATTGGGTCCCTTAGTCTTGCATTACATTTGATTATTGTACGATATATTATATTTTTGTATCTTCTTTTACTTATACAAATAACATAGTCGGACAACTTAAAACCTGGTGTTTATTACATATAACTTGCTGCCTATTACTCTGTTATATTTACTGTTCTATAATATTACAAGTTACTGCAATTTCTACCTTTGTCCTGTAATACTAAAATTATTCCAACAGTTTACTAAGTGAAACTTCCTTTATCTAGCAAAGAAAAACAAAACACAATCCTTTGAGAAGGGCCACCTGTAACAAATCCAAATACAACCACGCTAGGACCAAAAACAAGGTACCCCTCCAATGAGTAAAAGAAACGCTCCTAGGTGGGCTCGAACCACCAACCTCCTGATTAACAGTCAGACGCGCTAGCCAATTGCGCCATAGAAGCTCTTGTTTTTGTCGATTTAATATTTTACTTAGGTTTGTGTTTTTATAGTCAAGTCACGAGACAATAGAACGTTTCTTAGCCAATAGATTCACTGGGAAATATTCTGGAAATAACGTGACGTCACAGAAAGGAACTGTGTATTGATACAGTAAGTATAAGATATTTATTTATAACAAATGTAATGTTACCTGTGTATTGATACAGTAAGTATAAGATGAAGAACTTACAAGTATCAATAACACAGTATTTATATGTTTTCTAATTGTACTAAAATATATAAACTATAACATATGGAGAAGGAAGTAATTAAATACTTAAAGCTGATTGATGTTTGTGTCTTGACGAATCTAAAGTGCGCTTGGCTTTTCTAATGCGAATCAAGTCGAGGCGAACTTTCTTTCTTCTTTTGTTCAGTATTTGTGGTTTAAACCTTCGTTTGTTTGGATTATAGTTTGTTGGAAGGTTATATTCAACTTCAATTGGCTGCTTCTTACTGGAATCGCTATTTTCTGTGACATTTTTGTCATGTGTGCATGTTTGTTTTGGCTCGCTTCTTCGTTCTCTTTCGCGGTTTTTCTAGTCATTTTATTATGTTAACAGATCTTCAAATTGAAATGGTACATGTCTCTAATGTTTCTTAAAGTACATACAAAGTTTGGTTTGATTTGGTCTAGGTCTGATTGTACAATGGTGTTCCAAAGGCTTCAGCCAATGGTTCTGTCTTCTGTCAGACCCAATCAGGTTCGAGTCAAAACTACTGATCGGTGTGCCAATTTTTGGTCTGGGTCTCAATTGCTGTATTTTTTTTTGGTTCCTTATTTGTCCTACTTCTTCCGTATTTTGTTTCATGATATTTTGCTGTGATTTAATTATGTATTTTATTTTGTTTATTGTATTTGACAGTTCAACTCAGTTTGAATCTGTTGAATTTTATAATTTGATTGTGTTGTGATTGTGATGTTTTGATAATAGAGAGTTATATGATAAGATAATTTAGAGACAAAGGTAGATACTTTGAGACTGTTTTATAAAATTTTATTGTTGTTCTTTTTGACTATAAATTATTCTAGCATATTTATATATGAAGAGATGTCGGAGTAGGTAGTAGTAGAGTTCATGCAAATGACTGAGTCTCTATTATCATAGACTATGTTGTAAACATATATGAATTCATATGCATAGATCAATAAATGATGATCATGGCAAAAGATCAGATCACATCTATGGCAATTGCAATGGATCTATAGTCACTGACATTCACTCATTCTACTAGAAGTACTACATCGTCCTCATAGTCAGAGATTATGAACCTAGTGATTCTGTTATTATCAATGGCCCTCATAAAGTGACAGTTAGAGCTGACAACTTCCTCCAAAGGCATTTCTCTTAATTGCTCCTGATCTAACAAATCAATCTGCTGTCAAGAAGCTAATCCCAAAACAATATTTTGACCGAGAAGAAAAAGTATAAATACCTCGATATTTTATAGCAATTGAAAGATAACATTTCTTGGAGAAATAAAAGCCTATATAAGTTCTAACGGACTTTCTCTGTGTTCTTACCTTTTCTCTTATTGAATATCTACTCTCTCTTCATCTCACAACAGACTACTTTAAATTAATTAAATAATGTAAATTATGGACTTCGGTTATAAGTCTTGATCTATTAAAAGATACATTGTCTTATTCAGTACAAAAGGTTCTTTTATGTCTATTTCTGATGTAAACTGATTATGATATATTTTAGTATGTAATTGAAGACTTATTTAATGTCAGATCATCACATCAAACATAATTGCTTTTGGGCAAGTTTGATCTGTTCTAGATTAATGACAAGCAATTGTCTTTGTAATTTTTTTTCTGAAGAAAGTATAAAAGACTTAAAGAACTTTAAAAGGAAAAAAAAACGATCTTTATCATAAATTTTATTTTAAATATGTCTTCATTGTCTTTTGAAGGAACTGTGCCTAAGGTTAAATCTCTATTTGTGTCTATCTCCTTTAATTTAGAATTAAAGTCCGAATTACGGATCGGATTTCTTTTTCTCGCTCAAAAATTGCCGAAATTTTTCCACTCATACCGAGCCTTCCCGAGCCGTTCTTCTTCATGATGCGACTGCAAAACATGTTTCCCTCTTTGTAAATGGCTTCGATAATATTAAAGCTAGCTTGATACTTTTAAAAAGCGTCTTTTTCTATCATCACGTATAATACCACACTCAGAAATATGTAGATATTTGAATAATTTCTTGAAACAAAAAAATTTGCATGTTTTCCATCCTTGAGTAGGCCCCTCAAAGTATAATAGATGATCACTACAAATGATGTAGGATAAAAGCTTATCTTATCTGTCATAACGATACAAGAAAAAGAGAAAGGATTGATACTTGGCATGCTTCCGACCAAGCATGCCGCATATTCCTTGTCGAAGTACACCTTTCCAATGTCTTGACTTGGGACCTGTCTGATCATTCCCTTTAATTAGTATCTGTTACCATTTTCTTTCTATTCTCTACACTTTCTCATTGCCTAATGTAAGTAAAAATACACATTGCTTACTTATTTGTTCTGCTTGGTTTCTAAATTTTTTTTCTTCAAATAAAGTGTAGACATATGTAAACAAGAGAGAAATAAAGCTCAAGATACAAAAAAAAGAAAGAAAGTCGCTGATCTATGTATCCACACATGTATGTTTGGTCTGTTTAGCATGTTAAACGTATTCAAAAAATAGTATGCATTGATGATCTAATTCATAATTGTTCTCGAAAATTTTTTTAAGCTGTACAAGGTCCGATTTCCCCTTTTTTCAGAAAAAAATCTTTCAAACATAAACACATATATACCCCTTCTCATGGCAAATTTGATCGCTCGATACTTTCACCTTCGATCGACAACAATGCTTCCACGACTTGGTCAGTGCTATGTCAACCAACGCTTTATTTCACTACGTGCTCTATATGAAGAGCACGATCGATCAGAACAAGATCAACCTACCAAACCATACCACACAAGAAAAAGTTGGTCTACACAAGACACTGAGAAGCTTGTCAAACTTGTAGGAAAGTACGGCAATAAATGGAAAGTATTTGCAAACTACTTTCCTGGCCGCACTGCCTTTTGTATACGCTCACATTATTTTTCTGTTACACACGATACCACACGCTGGACATTAGAAGAAAAGAAAATCTTGCAACAATTACTACAGGGACAAAACGATGCTGACAAGATAAACTGGGAAGCCGTGCAACAAAAGTTACCAAAAAAACGCACAGTCGGCCGCATCAAGCAATTTTGGCAAAATTCAATACAGCCTTCATTAAACCGAGGCAGTTGGACACAAAAAGAAACTACCAAGCTGAAAGAATTGGTTGAATTGCACGGAAAGAATTTCGAATTGATTGCCCGGGAAATGGGATCCAGAAGTGAAGAACAGTGTAGGAACAAATGGGCCTATGAAGTCAACACGTTAAAAAAAGGAGAGTTTACAAAAGAAGAAGATGAAGCGTTGATGAAGGGTATAGACAAATATGGTTCAGATGCATTTCAGCAAATCAAGCAAGATATGCAAAGTCTGAGGTCTGTATCCCAACTAAGAACAAGATACACGAACTTTTTAGATCCCACTATAGACAAAAGTCCATGGACAAACGAGGAAAAAGAAACACTTGTTCGATTGTATAAAGAGATAGGAAATCTAAAGGCTGTTCGAGCCAAGATAAATAGCAGGCGAAGCATAAAAGACATGTATAATCAACTGAGAAATAAATAATTAATTAATTACCAGTTCAAACTCCATGTATCAAAATGTCGATCTTTTTATTATTGTCCTACAATAACATCCCCTTGTCTAAATAACAAACTTTTTAGAATGATATGCCGAAAAAGGGAACGGTTGAAACATGACATAAGAATAAGTGATGATCTCATTAACACAAAGAGAATTGCACCATCCTGTATAACACAAAAGAAAATGTAAAGAAGCCAATATCTTTTGTGAAGCTATTCAAAATGTAACGAAAATAAAATCAAATCTGTCAAAATATAATAAAAAAAAAGAAACCAGGGATTTTCTGTTATCGCCAAGAAGATACACATCTGCGGCGATCCAAACACTTTCTTAAAAGGGTTCATAAGTAGTTTATTTAGAGTGGATTCTTTTTTTTCTTCTTTTTTCCCTTTTTGTTCTAAAAATGAAAAGGGGAGTGACATATATCTTTACTCTTGTTTCCATTGTTTTGCTATACTTTGGTTCTTTGTACATTGTATCAAGGCGACCTTCTATAGACTGTCTAGATCCTCTTCAAAAATCAGATATATTAAACAGAGAGTCCGTTGAGGCTGCCGGTGTCCAAGTCCCCCTTGTGAATGAAGATGGTTTAGGTGAACCTACATTACAACTATTTGATGAAGATACTATTGTTCAAGACGAAGAAGAAGAGGAGAAACCTATTACTGAAATTTATGGTAAATCTTGTCAAAACATACTATCATCCCTTGCTGCTGCCAGAAAAAACAAGGAAAAGGCCGTTATTGTTGCACTAGTCAGAAACAGTGAGATAGGTGCCATGAGACGTACAATGAGAGACTTTGAGGAGTAAGTAGAGCCATATCTAACTATTTGTTTATTGAATCCTATTTTTATATAGTCGTTTTAACCGAAAATATAATTATCCTTATGTATTTTTAAATGACGAGCCATTTAGTGAAGAATTCAAAGGTGCTGTTTCAGCCATGACAAATGCTGAAACTAAATTTGGACTTGTGCCGGAAAGTATGTGGTCTGTACCTAAGCACGTCAATCAGACTGTGATGAACCAACAATTAAGTGACTACGCTGCTCGTGGTGTTATGTATGGTGGTTCTTTGTCTTACCGTCATATGTGTCGATTCAATTCTGGATTCTTTTATCGTCATCCTCTTTTAGATGAATACGATTACTATTGGTACATATAACAATTATCATCAAATGCAAGTTATTAACACTACTTATAACTAGGCGTATTGAACCTGGTGTTAGTTTCTATTGTGATCTTGATTATGATCCTTTCCATTTCATGAAAGAAAACGGCAAAGAATATGGCTTCACTATTACTTTGAAGGAAATACCAGAGACTATTCCTACCCTATGGGAACATACTATGAAATTTGCTCAACAACATGAACTCAATACGACTCTACTAAGATTCTTTGGTGACCCTAAACAAGGTTACAATCTGTGTCACTATTGGTCTAATTTCGAAATTGCTAGCCTGAATTTATGGCGAGATGAACGATATCAAGCTTATTTCGATTATTTAGACAAAACAGGCAACTTTTTCTATGAACGATGGGGTGATGCTATTGTCCATAGTCTGGCTGCTGGTCTATTTTTGAACAAGAATCAAGTCCATTTCTTTAATGATATTGGATATCGTCATGATCATTTCACTCATTGTATTAATGATGGTGATCTTGGCAGATGCATGTGTCCAGGTATATAGTCAAATGTAACAATCATGTTGATTAACCTATCTTAATAGAGAGCTTCCAGAATGCTGATACAATGTGGGGATCCTGTCTTGCTGTAAGTAATACAAAATACCAAGAGTTTTAGACTAATCAAATAATTAGAGCTGGAAGGATTACCCTGAAGAAGGTCTTCAATGGAACTTTAAGGCCAATGGGAAGCACGAAGGCAAATTTGATCAACCTGCTGTGATTCCTCATGGTAATGCTGATATAGAATTACAATAATTATTCCTTCATGTATACTACCTCTTAATTCATTATGTATATTACTTTAAAATAAAGATTTAAACATCCGTCCACATCAAATGCATACGTGCTCAACCACTTCTCGTCTACTCAACAATTGAATCCCCGCTCCTTTTGCCAAATGAAGGTCTTCACTCTACAGTATATTCCTTTATTTTTTTTCTTTCTTTTTTTTTTATTGAAAAGTACCTCATCTTTTCAGCTTTTTCAGTTCTTTCTTACAACGCTTCATTTTCACAGAAAACAGAGAAAGCTATTCAATCTTAAAAATGGTATTTGTCGCAAAAAAACCCCTCCCCTCTTTTTGAACAGCACAGGAGAGATACTAGTTCAGATTTCATCTCTTAATGCTTTTGTTATTATACGCGTCCATGCTAACTTTCATGTCTTTTATAGGGTATGCGCATCGACATCAAGGCAAGTTCTATTGTGCATGTTTATCGAGATGAACACTCTTGTTAATCTTTCTTTGTCAATAGCGTAAATTATTGTCGCGTTCTGAACGTGTCAAGTGTGTGGACTTACATCCTACCGAGCCTTGGCTCTTGACCAGTTTGTACAGTGGTAATGTTCAAATCTACAACTATGAGACTCAGGTATGACAGTTTGTTTATCGAAAGCTTGTTGTATTCACGTACCTTTTTTTCTTTTTTTTTTAAAAAAAACCACAGGCTCTCGTAAAGACTATTGAAGTATCTGAAACACCAGGTAAAGAAGACATATTCATAAAAAACAACATACTCACTTCATACTTAGTTCGTGCTGCCAAGTTTGTTGCTCGCAAGAACTGGATCATTACAGGTGCAGATGACTCTCAAATCCGTGTTTTTAACTACAACACACTTGAAAAAGTAACTACGTTTGAAGCTCATCCTGACTACATTCGTTGTCTTGCAGTTCACCCTACACAGCCTCTTTTATTATCTGGTTCTGACGATATGACCATTCGTCTTTGGGATTGGGAAAAAGCATGGAAATGTGTTCAGGTAAGAATTACATCGTTTGTATTCAATGGTTTCTTACGCTATTGATGATTAGGTCTTTGAAGGTCATGCTCATTTTGTGATGCATTTGACTTTTAATCCCAAAGATTCCAACACATTTGCTTCAGCCGGTCTTGATGGTATGATCAAGGTGTGGTCTCTTGGATCTAGTGTACCCAACTTCACACTGGATGGCCATGAAAAGGGTGTCAATTTCGTCGACTATTACCAAGGTGGCGATAAACCCTATTTGATCTCTTGTGCTGATGATAACCTAGTCAAGATTTGGGATTACCAAAACAAAAACTGTGTTCAAACCTTGGAAGGCCATAACCAAAATGTCAATTTTGCTGCCTTCCATCCAAACTTGCCCATCATTCTCTCAGGTTCTGAAGATGGTACAGTCCGTATTTGGAATTCAGACACATACCGTCTTGAGAACACATTGAATTATGGCCTTGAACGCTCATGGTGTATGGCTACACAAAAAGGCGGTAACAATGTTGCATTGGGTTATGACGAAGGTGCTGTTGTTATCAAGTTGGGTAGAGAAGAACCTGCTGTGTCTATGGATGTCTCTGGCAAGATCATCTGGGCTAAACATTCAGAAATCCAGACAGCCAATATCAAGACAAGCATGGATGAGGCTATCAAAGATGGCGAACGATTAGCTTTGCCTATCAAAGACCTGGGTAGCTGTGAAGTATATCCTCAAACACTTCAACATTCTCCTAACGGTAGATTTGTTGTTGTATGTGGTGATGGTGAATACATTATCTATACTGCCTTGGCTTGGAGAAACAAGAGTTTTGGTAGTGGTCTTGATTTTGTCTGGGCTGATGATTCCAATGTATATGCTGTCCGTGAATCTACATCCCGTGTCAAGGTATTCAAGAATTTCAAGGAAAGAGCAGGTTTATTGCCCAAGTTAAACTATAGTGCTGAGGGTATCTATGGTGGTTCTTTGCTCGGTGTTCGTGGTAATGGCTTTTTGAATTTCTATGACTGGGAGAATGGTCAAGTTGTACGTCGTATTGATGTTGATTCCAAGAGTGTCTATTGGTCTGATGCTGGTGATTTGATTGCTATTGCTTCTGAAGAATCCTTTTATGTCTTGAGATACAATGCCCAAGCCTATGCTCAGTTTGTTGAGAATGGAGGGGATCCAGGAGAAGAAGGTGTTGAAGATGCATTTGAGTTCATTACTGAAGTGGCAGAAAATGTCAAGACAGGTACCTGGGCTGGTGATTGTTTCATCTATACCAACAGCAACAACCGCATCAACTATCTTGTGGGCACAGAGACATATACCATCAGTCACTTTGATAAACCCATGTACTTGTTGGGTTATGCTCCTAGAGACAATAGAATCTATTTAGCTGATAGAGATGTTCATTTCTACAGCTATTCTTTGTCCTTGACAGTCATTCAGTACCAAACTGCTATTCTTCGTGGTGACTTGGAAGCTGCTTCTGCTCTTTTGGATTCCATTCCTAATGATCAACGTGGCCGTGTTGCTCGCTTCCTTGAATCCCAAGATCTTAAAGAATTGGCCCTTGAGGTGACTACAGATATTGACCAACGATTTGATTTGGCTATTCAACTTGGTAAACTCGACATTGCTTCAGATATTGCACACCAAGTAGACTCTGAACCCAAGTGGAGAACATTGGGTGATATTGCCATGTCATCCTGGAAGTTCAAGTTGGCAGAAGAATGCTTGATAAAAGCAAAGGATTTGAGTGGTTTGTTACTTTTCTACACTGCTAATGGTAACCGTTCTGGTATTCGACAAATTGCAGACACAGCCAGTAAGTAGCCAAAGAGAGAGAGAGAGAGAGAGAGAAAAAAGAAAAGAAAAGAAAAGAAAAAGCATGACTGACAAGATTTATAGTTGAGCAAGGCAAAAATAATATTGCATTCACCTGTTTATTCGAATTGGGTGCAATGGAAGAAGCTATTGACTTACTTGTCAAGACAGAACGTATTCCTGAAGCAGCCATGTTGGCTAGAACATATGTCCCTGATCAAGTCTCAAAGATTGTTGAACTATGGAAGTCTGGACTTGAGAGCAAAAACCGTAAAAAGACTGCTGATAGTTTAGCAGATCCAAAAGAATATCCTAATCTTTTCCCAGAACTCAATTCAGTGTCTCTTGTTGATATTGATGCTAAAGAGGAAGAGGAAGAACAAGAACAAGAACAAGAACAAGAACAAGAACAAGAACAAGAACAAGAACAAGAGCTTGTAGATGCTTCTGAAGGTGCAGAAGAGCAAGAATCACCAAAAGAACAAGAATCACCTTCTCTCATCTAATACACTTACAAAAAAAAAAAAAAAGGTTGTCTTTTTTGTTTATTTTTTCTTGAATAAAATAATAGTATTTACAAAAGAAAATATTATAATATGATACAGTTAATTTAACATGGTTAACAAGGCTTCATCATTTGCAGGTTCATAAATATCATGAAACACATCGTCATTTTCTTGGATATACAAGTCTTGCGCTGATCCACCGTGTTTTTCGTGGATCCATTCAAAGCATGAAATAAGCGTCTTGAGACCGAGTAAATAGCCATTATCTACTCCTTTGTGTCTTGGTGGGTATGCAAATTGCTGGTAGCGATACCGTACATCTTCGGCAGTAACACAGTTAGCGAAATCAATGATACGAATATCTATCTTTCGTATACTTGAAGGATCGCCATCGTAGATCATGAGTAAAGAAGAGGCATAGAAACGATAATTATCCATTGTTTTGATGATGCGCGCCAGTCGTGTAAGCTTTCGAACAATCACGGGTATATGCTGGATTTGACAACCTTGGCCATTGTTTAAATAAGCTTCCAGTGTATCTCTGAAAGTGATGGGTGTAAGTGTTCGACCATAATACTTGTCCTGAAAGACAAATTCATCTATATCATTCTTGTAGACCTAATGATGCATTAGAAACATAGAGCCATAAAGAAGTAACTTACCTGCATGCCACACACACGCACACCTAACACTTTGCTGGTAGATTTTTCGCATTTCAGTGTCTGGCTTTTCATTTTCTCTCGAGTGGCATATACACCGTATTGTCGAGTACCCATTTTGAGATCCAAGACACAGGGGTATTTCACACCATCTGTTAAATCTTCAATTAGAATATATTTTTGTACTTCATCTTGTCTATTGCGCATTCTCTGTAAATCACGGTTGTGTATCTGCAGTGACCAGGGATTTTCTGATGTTACACCGTCGGTTGGCTGTTGCTGATTTGCTGATAAAGACACATTGTTGAGACTAGAAGAATCCACTTTTAATAATGGCACCTTATTTTGTTTGTTATGAACTAATTTTTTATCTAGATCAAAATCATCCATACTAAAGATAACAGGTTCTTCGTCATCTTGAATTGAGATCCTTGAGGGTAATGCAGCATGCTTGATAGAGGGTGAAGAAGTGGTTGAGAGAATAGCGGGTGGTCTTTCAAGAGTGACTTGTTCAATAGAGTTATCATAGTCAAAATAGTCAATGTCTTTGTTGATAGGACTGAAGCCAAGCCTCGTTGTAGCCATGATCGGCACGGATCGGCCACCTTCCGCAATTAGATTATCGTCACGCCAACAACTCTTTTTATCTGATGAATAGCTGTGTGCCATCATATCCGTGGGTCGGCGCTGAAGCTCATTTAGACTAGCACTACTACCATGACTAGAAAGCCTGTTTCGTCTCTTCCAATCCTCCGCTAATACCAATCGCTCTTTCAATGCTTCCGGTGAAAATACCTCTCTCAGGACTTGCTGTTGAAACTTCTTTATAGATCGATGACGTCGTTCTTTACAAGCAGCGCGATAGTCTCTTAATAAATGTTTGTTCTTCTCAAACAAGACCTCGGGTACTGTAGGCCGATAAGTCACATTTAACACACCAATGTACTGTGAAGTAAATGGTAGTAATTCATGGTGATGTGCATCAATGTCCTCATAAAACTCTTGTTCTTTTGCTGATACAGGTTTGCATATTGCTTTCTTTGAGAATCGAAAGAAAGACGCGTGGCCACCTACTTGGTTCTTGAAAGGCAAGAGAGGCAGTGACATTGTTATTTTGGTGGGGTCAAAGTAATGTTGCAAGTCGCTATCGTCGTCTTCGTCGTCTTTTATAGATTCATCATTTTCCGAACTGCTTTCATAAGCAATATCCCATTCACTTTCATCATCATTGATATTATCTTCACAATCTGAAATATGACATTCTTTAGTTTGCATAATGTAATGGATAGAAAAAAGAGAGAAAAGAAAGAGAAAGAAAAAAAAAAAAAAGAGAGAAAAGAATGAAATAAAAAGCGTCCTTTTTATAGAGCGAAAAAAATATGTTAAATGCTTTAATTGGTGAATCAGACCTCAAATCAACTCAGCATGGTTTGATTTATTGGCTGTTTTTAACGGTGTCTTGGTTCCTTTGTCTAATATCGCACGTGGGTCTGTCAAAGGCACACAAATGTATTTCGCTTGTTTGATAATTTCTCATTGGCAAAGTGTTGTCAGTACTATCTTGTTTGTTTATCAAATGAATTGTGTCATACGCTAGTCTTGTGGAAACACAAATTGTCAAACACAACAAGCGATAAATTGATCAAAAAAGTCTTTTTTTTCTTTACAAATCACTTTAAAGACATTTTTGAAAAGAATGTTGATTTCACTTACAGCTGCCTTATAGTTTCATGTTCTAAAACAATCATTATTATTACATACAATTAAAGATTCCATAGTAACACCAACAAGACAATATAAGTGGCCATGGTTACTACTGTGGTAAGAATGACCCAATCACCACTCGTCTTGTAAGGAATGGTAGGGTCAAAGACATCAAACGATGTTCTTCTTCGCCATAAAGCAATGGCCAACATAGCCAATCCAAATACAAAAAATGTAATTCCAATCTTGTAAAACTCTCTTGTAAATACTTTCAAAATCAATAATCCTGAAGAAAAAGCAGCTAGCGAAGTTCTCCAATAAGCACCCTCAAAAGTTCTTTGGTGAGCTATAGAGACAGTTAAAAAAATTCAGCAAGCAATGAGTCTATCTACCTCTCAAGTCTTGAAGTTCTGTAATAGTAAAGAGTGCTGACTCTCTTCGGTGTCCTCTGATCAGTTTCTCTTTCTTGTTTTTCATGGTCTGAATATGGTTAAAAAGAAGAGAGAAAAAAGTGAAAAAGACAAGGGAACTGAGATTTAAAAACTTATTTTCTGCATAGAAAAAAAATAGTGCAAGGACTCAATAGGTAGACTTGGTTTATGCAGAAATGCTAATAACAACTGCTAAAAAAAAATTACATGTATCATTAATAGAAAGAAAAAAGGAGAGAAATACGACTCCGGGTCTCTCTCTCTTTTTTTCTCTTTTAGTTGCATTGAATGTTTATCTGTAAACTGATATCTCCCAAAGTTCATGTACCTGAAATTGATCATCACTCGTTGCTTTTGCATAGTGCCTTGATATTAAATCTCAGGATAAGAAACATGATACATATAAGGATGGGTTAACAAAGCAACAAGTGAAAAAAAGTCAATGTGTACCAGATAAATGGGCTTTATCTTATGCATAAACATAGTATTCAGGAGTACTGGTTAAAAAGTCTTTTCTTCAAGGCACAATTACATTCTTCCTCGAAAATAAATTTAAGGAACAGATCGAAGAGATAAGCAAGTTAAATAAAGGAGAACTTTCTTTTTATCCTTTATCAAAGTAAGGTGATTGATGTACATTGCAAAATATATATATATATATATAGCAGCTTTTGCATTTATGTCCAGAAGGTGTGCAAGTAAAGAAAAGACAATCAGGGCTTCTTTCTTATGAACCCGGGTAAGAGTAAAATGACCTCATATACATTTGCTCCAGAAAACAGGAACATATCTTTATGCGGGAAATGAAAGTCCTCGTTCATTCTCCCCCAAATGATGTGCTCTTCTTTTTTATAAAATAAAAACGCCATTCAACAAGAAAGAATATAAGAACCAGAAAGAAGAATTGGTAAAGACTTTGGTATCACGTTGCAATACTATTTTACAGGTAATATTGTAACAAGTGATGACGATTTTTTTTCGGGGGAATGATTGTACCGTTGAACAAAAGCTCCAAGAGATATATTGCGGTCATTTAAAATAAACAGTTTCTGTTATTCTTTTGGTAACGCGGCTCAATTTTTTTCTCTTTTCTCTCTCTCTCTCTCTCTTATTTTTTCAATTGAAAAAAAAAACATGCCTTCACCAGTTACAGAAAAACAAGTAATTGCTCAGTCAAACTCTAGCGTATTTCTATACATTCCAAACCTTATTGGTAAGCTCAAACAGCCTTGGATAGCAAGTAAAGTTATTCATTATCAAATAGGCTATACGCGAATTATTCTGGCGTCCTTGTCATTATATTATATGCCTTGGCACCCCAAAGTCTGTGTCAGCCTGTATTGTATATCATGTCTATTAGATGCAGTTGACGGAAATGCTGCTAGATATTTCAATCAATGTAAGTAAAAAAAAAAAAAAAAAAAAAAAAGAGAGAGAGAGAGAGAGAGAGAGAGAGAGAGAGAGAGAGAGAGAGAGAAGACAGTAGCTTATTAAGCCATATTTATATAGGTAGTAAATTCGGTGCTGTATTAGATATGGTGACAGATAGGTAAAAAAAAAAAAACTAAGTGTATATCTCGGTTCTTATGCGTATGATAGATGTACAACAACCTGTCTTTTATGTTTTCTCTCTCTTCAGTACCCTCAATGGACCATTCTCTTTCAATTCCTCATTTCTCTTGACTTCAGTTCACACTATATGCACATGTACAGGCAAGTCTTTTTTTTTATAGTCTTATACGAATTGAGGATTAAATATCATTCTAGCTCAATGATTTCGGGATCTTCAAGCCATAAGAAGATTAGTGAAGAACAAAGCTGGTATCTTCGTATTTACTACACGAACAATGTGAGTTTGATATCTCATTTATCATAATATTCTGACCTTGTTTAGATTGTTTTGTTTATCATGTGTGCTGGTAATGAACTGTTTTTTGTTGCACTCTATGTCTTGAAATTCATTGGATCTTTGAACAGTAAGGAAGGAGGATTCATCCAAAAATGGAAATCTAAATTTGTCTAAATAGTGTTTTGGTACATTGCCTTGTCAGTGACAGGTGTTATCTGTTTTGCCAAGCAGTTTATTAATATTGTGCAAATTGTGAATGCCAGTAAAACCTTGGCCCATATCGATCAAGAAGATAAGGAAAAAGAGTTGGCTGGAAAGAACAATTAGCCATGTATATTTTCTTTTATGTGTAGTCATTAAGCATCTGACAAAATTCTTGTACAAAAAAATAAAAAAAAATATATAGTTACATCTTTGCGATCATTATCAACTCAGATGAACTCTTTGCTTTCTAAGCACAGGGCTTAGACATCACAAAAAAACGAAGGAAAGTAATAGCTTATTATGAATGAATGTAGACATCTTCAAACTAAAAAGAAAAAGAGACCTTGTTGAGATAATTTTTTTTAGTTTTACTATCTCGTCATCACATACAAAGCGTGTATCATTCTAGCCCTTGTAAGATACACAACTTCTGTCTTTTAAAAAAATAAGTTCATGACGATAAGAACTTTACAGCAATAGTGATCAAGATAAGATTTGACAGCAACAGTAACCTAGCAACATACTTCCAAGACCAAATCAAAAAATAAAAGGTTGGATAGCAAATACTGAACAATTACAAAGCGTATTTTTCTATGCATAAATTTATAAGCCAATAAGAAGACTACGATTCTACCTCAACAACTTTCTCTTTTTCTCTCTCTCTTTTTTTCTTTTTCTCTTTCTTTCCCCCTTAATTTTTCCTTTTCTTTTTTTTTTAACTTTTGCAAGATGGCAACAGCAAAAAGTGCTTCTTACGACTACCTTATTAAACTCTTGTTGATTGGCGACTCTGGCAAGTAAAAAAAAAAGAAACAAAAACATAGCAACATTTTATTTATTTATTTTAGGCGTTGGCAAGAGTTGTCTATTGCTTCGTTTCTCTGATGACTCGTTTACACCTTCTTTTATCACGACTATTGGTATTGACTTCAAGATTCGTACTATTGAACTTGATGGTAAGCGTATAAAGTTGCAAATCTGGGATACAGCAGGACAAGAGCGATTCCGTACTATTACTACGGGTAAGTTTATATAAAACACGCCTATACTTGTATAGACTGACCATTCTATATGTAGCTTATTATCGTGGTGCTATGGGTATTTTACTAGTTTATGATGTTACGGACGAAAGATCTTTTGGAAGTAAGTATACACGCAAATGTATATATTTATTCATCTTCTCAAATAGACGTCAGAAATTGGTTTTCAAATATCGAACAACATGCAAGTGAAGGTGTAAATAAAATTCTCATTGGAAACAAGTGTGATATGGAAGAAAAACGGGTAAATATCTCTCTCTTTTTATATATGTTGACTGATATTTTCTAGGTTATTTCAAAAGAACAAGGCCAAGCTTTAGCAAACGAGTTGGGCATTCCATTTGCCGAAACAAGTGCAAAAGCCAACATTTCAGTTGAAGAAGCCTTCTTTGACTTGGCAAGAGAGATTAAAAAGAGATTGATTGATACTCAGCAAGCTCAACAGACGAGACAAAGAGAAGAAGTCAAGCTCGACAATTCAGCTATCAAGAGCAACGACAACGCCAATTCAGGTGGTTGTTGTTAACACCTTTGTTGCGTCTTCTTTAAATAAACAAGATGAAGTCATTACACAGAAAATTTAATTTCCCTTTTTTCCTTTTTTTTAATATTTATCATGACTTCCAAAGAGCTTGTTACAGCAGTAGGCCATACGACTGTTGGTTCAGACGTAGGACTAGACTATTTGCGTGATCTGTATTTGCCTCAAGAACAACAGGATCGTGAAATAGACGAAGACAAAGGTGTGGTTGTTTACAAGTCCATTACTTCCTTCCCTCCTGTGAGGCAACTTAGACCCTCAGAGCGTAAGCGTATTTTGGTAACAGGAGGTGCTGGTTTTGTAGGTTCTCACCTTGTAGACCGTCTCATGTGGATGGGACACGAAGTCATTGTCCTTGACAACTTCTTTACTGGATCAAAGCGTAATGTACAGCACTGGATTGGTCATCCTCACTTTGAACTTGTACGTCACGACGTAGTAGACCCCTTTATGATTGAAGTGTCGCAGATATACCATTTGGCCTGCCCTGCTTCACCTCCTCATTATCAATATAATCCAACAAAGACCGTCAAGACAAGTGTAATGGGTACAATCAATATGTTGGGTCTTGCTAAGCGAACCAAAGCTCGTTTCTTGCTTACTTCTACATCAGGTTTGTTTCAAATAATACACAAGATGTATTCATGTTTTTATTAGAGGTCTATGGTGATCCAGAAGAACATCCTCAAAAGGAGACTTATTGGGGCCATGTCAATCCAATTGGTCCAAGAGCTTGTTATGATGAGGGTAAACGTATTGCAGAAACACTCACTTATGCCTACATGAGACAAAATGATGTTGATGTACGAGTAGCACGTATTTTCAAGTAAGTCAGAAACTCAATAAAGCTCAAATGACTCATGTGATGATAGTACGTTTGGTCCTCGTATGTCACCAGCAGATGGCAGAGTAGTCAGCAATTTTATTATGCAGGCTATTAAAGGTGAATCCCTGACACTCTATGGTGATGGTGAACAAACCAGATCATTTCAGTACATCCATGATTTAGTAGATGGTCTGATTCTCTTAATGAACAAGAACTACAGCGAGCCTGTTAATTTGGGTAATCCTGAAGAATATACCATTCGTAACTTTGCAGACATGATTCGAGAGATGGTTTTGCAACCACCCTTATCGCCTGATAATGTGGACATCAAGATCTTGCCTGCTGCTCTGGATGATCCCAAGAAGCGTAAACCTGATATTTCCCGAGCCAAGAAATACTTGGGATGGGAACCTGGTTTCTCAGTCAAACAAGGACTACAAGAGACTGTAGATTGGTTTAAAGTACAAGTGAAAGAAGGTGCTATTTAATACCCACACTATTATTTATTATTTGTGATTCTCTACTAGTTTTCCAACCAGTAAATATTTTCTTGCAAACAAGCTTTCCTATAGCATCTGTTAACTCTGTTTTGTGTTTGCTGTTTCTTACCCATTCCCTTAATGATTCCCAATCATCTTCTGCCAAATCTTCTAATTTATCTATGGGTCCATCTGGATCTACCATCATGTCAGCATCAAATGAGTTTTTTGCTAGTCCTCGAGATGCATCATGGCCAGCAAAGTTAGCATAAGGCCCACCTGTTCGTTAGTCATGGAGTATAAACCAAATGCAGTGGTTACCTGGACCATAAAAATTGCTGCCCTGAGAAACATCATAGACTGATCCATTGACGCCTATCAGAATACGTGGGTTGTCTTTACCGTTATAAGGCAATAGCTCAACTGGCGTATAGTTCCTGAACACAATGGTCTCGGGATGCTTTGGTGGAATATTGTGTGGTTTTGTAGATACAGCGAAATACTGCAAGATATAGGCGAGTATCTAGTAAGAAAGGATTCATTAAGCATTCAATATACAAGTCAGGCAACATACTGCTAACAATGCCCAATTGATGGGATTTCCTATCAATATGTTGTTTAGACATGATACATTTAGTTTATATGCAACCTTTTAATTGTGTGATGAGTGCATCGAATGTCAACATTAGAACACTTTATGAAAAGAAAAAAGGAAAAAAAATAAGGTATTACAAGGCTTTGAAAAAAAAAAGTCGTACGACAATAAGATATAATACGTTTTCTGCAAAACTTCATTTGACAACCTCAAAGTCAAACTAAGCATGTCATGTACACTATAAGATAGAACAATGCTAATGTGTACCTACAAATACAGACCATTTCATTGCAGGCTAAGTTATTATATGTATGTTTTTTTTTTTCACTATCAAGCTAGAAGAGTTGAATGTTTTGTAACAAGATTCATTTTTGGGGAAGTTGTGCTACATTGCTCAAGAAAAGTATATTTTTCTTGTATACATTACTTTTCCTTTTTTCTTTCTACTCTTTCTATTTTTTAACTATGACAAACAACGCTACATGGCAAAATGATTTCGAAAGAATAAGCCTTCAAGACCCATTATCGCAACAAGTAATTATGGTTTATAACATCATTCTCTTATAAAAACCAATAGATATCATATAATGATCCAACCTTTCAACTTCGAATTAGTCAGCCAGAAAAAGAACATATAACTCAACCATTTCATTCACCTGTCACTCTTCGATACAGAGATTCAATTAGTTCAACTGGTTCATCTCTCTCAAGAAATTCGACCGTTTCTTCAATAGACACTCGATGCTCTACCGCAGCAACATCGCCATTATCATCACGCACACCATCTTTGAGATATAGCGAACTAATGTCTGAGCCTACACAGTCTCCTCAATCTGCACACACACCTGAACCATCTTATTTTCATACTTCATTACCTCATCATTCTATTATAGAACCTACAGGTTGCTTTGTGCCTTGCAAACCACTCTCTTTTATTCAAAAGACACATGTCACAAAGCACCATTATGTTGTACCAACTTTTGCCATGGTATAGGTTTATTATACACTATCCATATATATATATATATATGTTCTAATTCTTGACTAGGCAGGACAAAGTCAAGCAGATGTCATCAAGTTATTATTCAATCAAGTAGATCATGCACCTTTTGCTGTATGAATCATTCTAGTCATTAACAAAAAAAAGCTTACCTAATTCTATGTAGCCTAAAGAAGAATATGAACGAACAATACCATGGCATATCGATCAAAACAATTCACTTGTTACATTGTCACATTATACATGTCTGGGTAAAGAAAACCCAGTGTCTCGAAATTATTTATTGAGCCTAGGTCAACGCTTAGGCGTGACAACCATCTTGGTCATTGTCTCTGTTGAATCCATGTAAGTCAATAAGCCTATCGAATCAAATTAGACTGATGAACATACAAGTGATACTGTGTATCCCTTATTAGATGCTCTCACAAAAGCCATGGAGCTCAACACACACGCTGACAAGCTGACAAAACAACCTTCTTGGTGGAACAGAGTTGTTCTTGTCATCAATCAACAACACGATGTGAGTGATCAAATAGCTTATACACAGCGTAAAAACATACTTGTGGGAGACATGCCTCGTATTCAAGAACGGTATCGAATCTCTCAGCCGCTTTCTACTTTATTCGTGAGCACACAAGTATACGATCAAATCAAACAGACTCAGGAAGGCGTTCATTATCAACGCTGTTGTCAGCGCATTCTGTGGCAAATGATGCAGAAACACACGTTGAGTGGGCGCTGGTGTAGTGAACTATCAACGCTTCAGAACAGAATGAACAGTACTAGCAACACATTGAATATCTTGACAGAAGACGACGAAAGTAGTTCAAGTAGTGATGAATCCTTGTTTGTTACAGTCATTGATTATGTCGATGGAAAGATAAAGAAACCAACGAAAAAGAAAAAGAAGCAAGCTTCTTCTTCTTTACTTCAGAGACGATCTACTCGACGCCAAGTTCAAAAATTACATTGTCATGATGGCGATGATGGTTCTGTGCCTCCAATGCCCGTGAGGCCAATGACTTAAATGGGGCACAGTTTGTTTACTGTTACACATGTGGCAATTTATTATGTAAATAGAGAGAGAGAGAGAGAGAAAAAAAGAGAGAGATTAAAGGCCATGATGGTTATTGTCGTTACTTTTACCATAAGAGATGGGAGAAAAACCAAAGGGTTCATTATAACCTTGTGGAATTTGGAATACACTTGAAGTTGTGTCTTGATCAGAAGTATTGGTTAATGGGTTAGAGAGAGCGTTGAGATAATAGGGTTGGGTCCAGTCAGCAAGCGTAGTGCTTGGCATCTGTAACTGTTGGTCTAATGGTGGTTGAGCAAATGAAGATGGCTGTGAGAACAAGGGCTGTGTAAGTGGAGCAGAAGATGGTGATAATTTACTTGAAGTATCCATAGATGTTCGACGTCTTAATACATTACTATGGATAGCATAAAGATCACGAATCATGAAATACAGTTTATCAGCCATTGCCCATAATCCTCGAGCACTCTAAAAAGCAAAGTTAGCTACTCTATTCTTTCAACAGGATCACTTGCCAATAAAAGTTGAAAATAGATACCAAGGGCTTGCTTTGCTTTCTGTGCTTCTTCTTTGCGAGGCGAGAATGAAGAACTCACAATCACTGTGGCTACTGTATAGGCAAAATAAGTAAGAAAAGGCGGCATCAATTCCCTGCAGTTTCCAATTTCTTTTAGCAAGACAGTGACATTGTCCACTGCTGCCATACATTTTTCAACACTCTTGGTCACAAATTGCTTGATTTCTGACTGAACCAGATCAGAATCCAGCGTATCAGCCACAACTAAAGAAGGACGATGGAGTAAAACAATCAATGTGTTATGAGCAATATGCATCTTGTCCATGGTCAGTCGAGATAGATTCTATCATACTGGACTTACCATAATAAAAGTACGACTTTCATTTGTCTGGTTTGTATCTTTGTACAACTCGAAATTGGCAGGCGAATTCTTGAGATGCATTGGTAATTTTTCATACCAATCATCAAGGGCCTTATCCAACTGTTGAAATTCTGATCCTGGATGAGAAGGAGGCAGGAGTTCTTTGGCCTGTTTTCCCTTAAAATTGAGATAGGATGTCACTTTTCCAAGCAGATCAATCACTCGTACAAAATAAGCAAATGTGCTTAAAGACCCACGTCTTGACAAATCAGTCAAATCGTCTTGTCCCATATCAGGAAAAAGTGAGTTTGCGTTCAACAATTGACTATCACGAAATCCATTGATATTGTTCATGATATAGCGGGATCCATCTAATGTTTCTGCATAATATTGATTTGATTTAAAACTGTCTGAAGAAGGCAAAAAAGCAGTACAATAGGTGTCCAGCAAACTAGGTGGTTTCCCAGTAGCAGCACTTGATATTCTATCATCAAGTCAATAAGACACAAGCATACCCTCAAACAGCTTACTTATCAACCGTAAAAATAACCCAAAATAATCGTCGACGGTATTCCTGTGACCACGTCTTGTTTGCTTCACCACCACTGTTTACTTCTTCTTCCTCCATGTCTTCATGAAGACCTATTTCCATAGCCATACGCATCACCATGCCACCATACATCCAGCTCCTAAATCAAGGTTACTATGGTTTCTTGTTTATCATGATTACCTAGGTCCTCTACCACACCCATATTCATGCACGCATAATAATAAAAGTGCCTCTATATTACTGATAGATGGCTCATCTACATTTTTTATAATTAGCGATCGCGCTTTTTCGGCGTATTTTTCCCCAGCATGCCATGGGGGATTTTCGGCAACCTCTGGGTGATCAGAAAACCTAAAAAATAATAATAGTAATAATCAATAGATAGCTCATATAATCTACCACCTATACCTTGCAGTAGCAGCCAAAAAAGACAAAATAAAGAATTCAGAGCGTTTCTTTTCCCTGATTTCATTTCTCAAGGTCTCTTGATCAAAAATAGGCATAGTACAATACAAGTACTGAAAAAAGAGATCAATGCAATGTTCAATAATGTTGTCTGAGGGTAATAAATCACAATCCCTTTTAATGGCATTGGAGTGTTGGGTATGGGCCATCATGTGTGAATTGGGTGATGAAAAGCTAGAAGACCTGCTTGAATAAGAAATAGGCGATGTAGCTATTTCATGCATTTCTTCACTTGAGCGTTTACTACCAACGGTTGGTCTGTTATCACTGCTTTGATGGTTGGGCAAATGAGTGTCTACCAAGAGAGGATATTCTTCCTCTTCTTCATGCTCTTCTTCGGGGCACTCTGTTTGTGATTTTATGCTCTCTGCTGACAACAATATCTTTTCCATTTTAGCTAACCTTTGTTCTAACATTTCAATGTATCCCTGACGAGGGCCTCGTTTCTTGTTGTTTGTACTGTAAGTACAAGAAACGTTAAGTCGAGTGCAATTACTACAGTTAGGTTTGCCACCATCGCACTTGATCTAGAGTCGAATGTTAATCTCCATGTTACTGCGGAACACGATTACTTTTTTTCTGCGGCACAACTCACAAGCTTGTGTCAGTCTTTTTCTTTTGCTTTCACTTTCTTGTTGACTTGAAGACATGTGGAATCTAAAACATCACAAGATAAGAAAAGATTTTTAAAAAAAATAGGAATAATTTTGGTTTATTTTGATACAAGTCATGTTAAATATATATATATATATATATGTGTGTGTGTGTGTGCAACAGGATCGAAGTTTCTTTGCATTGCATAAAATAGAAATGGTATCTAAAGAGAATAGTCTAAATAGTCTAAATAAAGAAAGGAAGGGAAAGGGGTATAATAGAAAGAATTAAAAGCCCAAGAAGACAGATCTTTTCTTGCCTGTAGGATAAACAACAAGATTGGCCAAGAACAAACCTAGCGTGATAGACAGGGCAATACCAAGAATTTGAAACACAAATTCACTTCCACTGCCATTGTTAGACCCATCAAACAAATGAACAGCACCTCGAACACCTAAACTTCCAGGCACTAGAATAAGTGTGCCACTCATCAAGGGTGCAAATGCTTGTCTTTTTGTGACTCGAGCATACACATTGCCTGCTATACCAAGAGCAAATGCACCAGCACTCGGTGCAATCACATTGGTTGATCCCACATATTTGGACACAAAATAGTAAACAGCATAAGCAATAGCACTATCAGCAATCATCATAGGCCATTGTCTATAACTAGCACCGTATACAATACCAATAGCTATAATAGCAAGAGGTAATAACAAAAATGTCCAGTAAGGATCGATGCCATCTTCGCATGTACCCAATACGTTGATATCAAATTCTGGATAAGCAAGTCGCCAAACAGAACATCCATAACCAATACCAAAAGCAAGGAACAAGACATACATCAAAGCATATACCAAATGAACTGTACCACTAACAAGGTTTTTAGCAGCAAGTTCCATGACAGAGCACGTTAAAGAGTAACCAGGAAGTGCAATCACAATCTACAGATGATAAGAAACTATGGCTAGGATAGGAACATACTTACAGCAGACAAGGCAATTGCAGCAAAACAAACATAGGGATGCAATGCAAGTGTAATAATAGCAATAGGGATCGTAATAGCCATTTCAAACACATTACCAAACATAGGCATCTTTTCGGAAATATAAGTCAAAACACCAACTAAACAAGTGTTACGACAAAATCAGGCCATCGTAATACTTTACCACAAAGACCAAAAATAGCACTAACCCAGCAATCCGTCCAAGAACCATTGAAGAACAACGGTGCAACAAAAGCAGAGGATCCAATGTAACCAAGAATAAGCATAAGAGGGCTCCACGTGGGGGGTTCATGAATAATATTGTCTAACAAAGTAGAGGCTTCATTTAAATCCAGTTGTCCTTTTGCGAGTTTGTGTGCAATCAAATTTGATCTTTCGAGTTTGTTGATATCCAACGATCGAGAACATCGAATCAAATGAGTTTCCGAGGTATGTGTTTCAACATCTCCAAATGTAACCACAATCAACCCAGGCAAGACAGCATAACTCCCATCGATTTCTAAACGTTTACTGACCTTTTCCATGGCTGCTTCCTAAAAAAACCCTATAAATATACTATCCTTACAAACCAAGACTTACAATTCTGTGAGATGGAGCACCTGTTCTTACAAGACATTTTCCCATTTTGATAATCACTTCTTGACGATGAAGAATATCTGCAATTTCTGATGCAATAGCCATTCGATGTGCTGCTACTGCTGGTGCGTCATTTTTCAACATACCAAGTTCAGCCATACTATGAACTGTGTTTTCTTCATTATAGACACTATTACGAGTAGATGATTGAAATGAAGAAGAAGCTGTCATGCTCTGTAAAAGTGCCCGACTTGAAACAATGGATCGTAATTGATGAATAGGTCGAGTGGGCCGAGAACTACTTGCCTGCTGCTGTTGTTGCTGTTGTCGTGGGTGACTTTTTTCTTCAAAAATATCGAGTTTCAGCAGGTTGGATAGAATACCGGCCTTACTAGGTCTTCTACGTACATTTTCTCGGGTAACAGCATCAACCAAATGAAGTGCTTGGTCAGTATGACTAGGTCCTTGGAGAGCAGCACCAGTATCTAAATCTTCTATTTTTCCTTCGTCATTGACAGCTGTTTCTTGATCCGATAAATGTCGACTGAATACAGGATGAATGGCTCCTAAATCAAGGGGAGGCGGTGTCTCCGGGTCATGAAATTTATTACCTTCCATTAAATAATCAAAGAAAAAGAAAAAGAAATTTATTTGACTAGTAGGACAAGAAAAAGATCATCGTGAGAAACTGAAAGTCTAATTCGTTCATTTATCAGCTGTGTTTGATAATTATCAAAAGAATCAAAAAAAAAATTTTCTTTGTGTACACAAAAAAGGACAGGCAATTTTGCACGTATTCCAGATTCAACTTTTCTGGTTGAGCATTCCGAGTACTTTGATTGGTACACTGTTGTCATATGCAGGAATTCTTCTTACATCATCTTTTGTGCCCTTGCCTATATAAAGCGATTCCCAACCAACGTATACGTGAGGTCATCATGAACATCAGCTTGCCAATCATAATGGCTCATGTCAGCCAAATTTGGATAAAATGTAACTGCTTATGTTCATAGCATTACAAAAAAAGTTTAATTTTGTAGAGAGAGAGAAAGAGAGAAAGAGAGAAAGAGAGAAAGAGAATAATATACAATGAGGGTTTAAAATTAAATGATGATGATGATAATAATAATAATAATAATAATATAGTACAATTGAATGAATGGATATATCTAAAACATAATACGGCTTGAGTCTCTTGCCATAGCATAAGAAGAAGAGGATTGACTGCTGTAGGTTGATGTAGATTCTTCTGGTTCTTCAAATGCAGGAAACGAAAAATACAGATCCTGAAAAGGACTACTGTTCTCTGAAGTAGTTGATAATTTTCTTTCTAATCCTTCTTCATTCGTTTGGTTGGAGGGCGATACAAGCAAGAGCAAGTTTTTCATAAATGTAGAAAATGAGTTTCGGCGAGTGTCAGAGTTCATATTGATAAGAGAAAGAAAGAGATAAATAAATAGAAAAGCAGGCTTTTTATATGCCATTTTTTTTATATAACTATAAATGGGATTGTGTGGTCAAAGCGACAGAATGCCCCGATCCCTATTTCAATCCCCCCAAAGCTGATTTCTGTTTTTGTGTTAAATCCAGGCCTTTGTCATACATTTATAACACTAACAAAATGAACCAATTACTCTTTTGATACTCCCTCCCCCCTTTTTCTTTCTTTCTTTCCTCTTCTTTTATTACGCGTGACCATTCATGACTTTTGATTCTGTCAGGTAGATAAACAATCTATAGAGTCTAAAGTATTAAATACGGCTTATAGAGTGGTACTTAGGGCCAGGCCCTTACGAGAGAATGAAGAGATGAGCAATATTGTATTTAAGGAACAGCAGGTCATCTTGAACCAAAGAACGTTTACTTTTGATGCAGTATATCCTCCCTCTTCTGTTCAAAAAGACGTTTATGACTATAGCATAAAACCCTTGTTTGATTGTTTCATGAAAGGGTAAATTGGACCGTACCTGACTTGTCAATTAAGCTTTTTTCTTTTGTTAGTGAAAATGGAGTCATTTTTGCTTATGGGTAACTGAAGAGAAAGTTGTGTCTATATGACTCATGAACATGTTAGACAAACAGGCGCTGGAAAAACCTATAGTTTAGGTACTAGTTCTAAATCGGAACTGGACCCTTCTGAAGAAGGTAATTTCAGGCAGTCGACATATATATATACATATATTTTGTTTAGTCTAAGATATGTTTTAGGCATTTTGCCTCGATTTACACGATCACTTTTCCAGCAAATCACGGATGATTGTGAAGTCTATGTGTCTTTTGTCTCATTGAATGATGAAATTCATGATCTGTTGGTCTATCCCGAACTAGTTACGATACTAGACATTCAAGATGCTCGACAAAAAAGAGTCTATTCTACTCATGATTTATTACGGTAAAATGATATCAAGTCTATTTCTTTACTGACTTTTTTGTTGTTGTTTAGTTTATTGAGCAAAAGAAAGCTACCCAAGAAATGCCATCGTCTGTTTACAGTCACATTAAAGCAATCAGAGACTGTGTCCAAGTTTTGTTTTGTAGATCTCGCTGAGAAAGTAATATGTTGTATTTTATTTCATTGTAGACTAACATAAAAAGAACAGCACAAGGATCTAGATTTATTTAATCAAAGCCCATGGAATCAGTTGTTCAAGAGTCAAAACAAACTCTTGCTGGCATGCATTAGTCCTGTAGACACAGCGCTCCAGACACTTGAATTTGTGGACGGACTAAACAAACCATTGCCTAAAGCATCTCAATCACTTCATGCTCAAATCAAGCAACTCAAACTTCAAATAGAACATCTTCAGAACAACCAATTGGTTGAAGAAGAAATCAGAATGATCAGGCAAGAAATGGAACAAATGAAATCTTATTCTATTCAACTCTCCCAAGAACTGGCCGAGACCACAAGTGCACGCGATACCTTGTTGCTTCAATTGACGCAGGAAAGACCTTCTGAATCACATCCTTTGATTCAACAGTATGCTCAGCAAATCCAGACTCTGAGACTTGAGGTTGCTGAAACGCGTAGCAAACTCAATTCATTCTGTACTGAAGAAGAGGAAGACAGGTATCTTCGCTCACGCCATTCCATGATGACTTCTATTTCTTCTAGTCGAAAGAAAAGACCTGTTATTCAACGTATGAGAACTTCTTCTTCTTCTCTTTTGAAAAAGAAGAAGAGCCAACACGTAGATCACCTTATTGACTTGTTACGTAAAGAATACATGGAAGAGGTAATACAGGCAGAAAGGGTGAAAGAGAGAAAAAAAAGATTTATACCAAGATTTGTGTTGTGTTGGGGGATTACTTTGATTCTAAATCTTACTTAGCGCATATGCAAATTATATTATTTGGTCACAGTCAACAGATGAAACAGTATTACATTTATCACATGCTCCAGTAATGGAAGAAAAGACTGAATTGGAAGACAAGACTGAAATGGAAGATACCTTTTCCAATCATCAGTTCTTATCTATGGCTTCCCCTTCAGCTGGTCCGCTTGCTGAACCCAATTCATTTGAAGATGACGAATTAGAAGCTCTGGTAAGCTTATCTTAAATGTGATAATGATGATGCTCATTATTATTTCATACATAGGCTGTTCCTTCTTGGTCAGATGCACCCAAAGCTCAATCTGTGAGCGGCGGTTCTACAAAGCGAAAGTCCATCTCATTGGATTCTATGTGGGACGATACGGATAGCTCAATTACGACTTCACGTGTGGACTCTGTTGTACTGGGTAACTCATCCGAAAGTCACAGTAATAGGCCCAAGCCAAGCACAAGCAACACTAAATTGAAACGACAAGGCAAGAATCTCCTCAAGATGCTACACCAAATCCAAGCTGACTTACTTGTCAAACGGGAATTGGTGGGTCAACTTGAACGCTCTGAAGATCAATTTGCTCAAATGCGTGTTAATTATGAAGAACGTCTGAATGAACTCAAAGAACACCTTGTCGAGATCCAAAAGCAACGTGATACTGCTCTTAAAAAGGGACATAGTAACACGACCACTACAGTGACTTCTACTCTTAACACCACCACCGCTCGACCTCAGAGTGTAATGGGTGGTTTGCGTGAAAACAGAGAAGCACAAGAAGTTCGCTTTCAGTTTGAAGTGAAAGTGAAGCGCTTGATGGTAGAAAATCAAGAGTTGAAGAAGAAAAACCAAGAAGCTACTAAAGCCGTTCAGACGGCACGTAGCAAAGCGGAATCTGCTATGCAACGCTTGAAATCAGAAATTGAGTCACTCAAGTTAGATAAGAAGCAATTGAACCGTACGCTCAAAACAGAGATGGACAAGGCACGTGATGCAGCTATCACGTACGAAAGGGAAGTTCAGCAATTGAAAAGAAGACTGGTTGTTGCGCTTGATTCCAAAAAGAAATTGGAGGAAACGACCGAAGCACAGAATCAAGTGTTGAAGAAGCGAACAGAAGAAACTGCAGCCGCTAGTTTGCAGATGAGACAGCTGACAAACGTATTGAGAAAAGCAGCTAATGAAGGTACCTTTTTGAATGAAGCAGCTTTGGATAGGATCATGGAATTGGCTCAGATTTCAAAGAGCAATATTCGTACGACAAAGCAAACAAGAGGTCGTGCTTCTTCGTTTGCGAGCGAACCAAGCATATAAGTTATACGTTGTTGATCTATCTATATCTATATATATGTATGTCATAGGCTCTCTTTTTTTTCTCTCTCTCTCTCTCTCATTTACAATATCATTTTATTATATCACATATGAATGCATGCAACTGCGTTGTGGTTGCTTAAAAAAAGATTCTTCCTTTTTTTTTATCTATAGGAATTTACTTATGATTTACTATGAAATAAAAAATTCTGTCCTTACTATGTACATGTATGTACTTTTGTTTTGCTTGAGCATGTTTCCTGGTGTCAATATGCTTATATGCGTCTGTATATCTATTAAATGTAGACTGACTATTGCATACATTATGTTATTCCAACGATAGACACGCAATGAGCTCAGTTTATATAAATACGACTTTTAAATAAGTCATCTATAAAAAAAAAGGATTTGCATATTGTTATTATCAACCTCTTTCTCTTGTCATGATATATCCCTCTTCCCCTCATAAACATAATCCTAATTACCGAGAAAAAACACAAGATGACATATCAGCAGAAGAATCAGGGATTTCTTCTCCCCCTCTTCCTATCATTCCTAATACAGATAAATCACTTACAACATATGATTGCATAAAAAAAAGGCTAATTATCAAACAAAAAGTGATAAGCGATCCAAGAAAACTTTCACCTCCGAAAAAAAGAGTGATACTGACATGTTTAGCATTTGGTGCTTCACTCAATGGGTTTTGCTCTACTGTTTATGTAAAAAATGGAATGTATTCTATACCTTTGAAATTAACTTGACTGTTTATGTAGTACCCGGGTATTCCAGATATCAAAACTGAATTGAATGCGCCTGAGATTGGTATTACACTAGTGTCATCGCTCTTTATCTTATTTGGTGGTATTGGGGTAAGATAATTCAACAGGAAATCATGCCTTATCTATTCGTTAGCCTATATTTTGGGCCTCTATTTCAGATTATTATCACATTCGAAGGTAGGGTAGACATGACATTTTAAAAATAGCTTATGTGTCGTGAAGATCTCTTTACTTGATTGGTTTGCTTGTATTTATTGGTGCGTCTATTGGGTGTGCACTGATTCAAAATATTTGGCTGTTGGTTGCATTTCGATGTTTTCAGTCAATTGGTACTTCAGGTAAAGTATATATGATCATGCCAATTTTGGCTAAACAAGTCATTTAATCTAGTGACCATGTCTGTGGGTGCAGGTACCGTTGCTGATTGTTGGGAGATAAAAGAACGAGGTTCAGCCTTTAGTTTCCTGTTTGTGGGACAGTTCTTGGGTCCATTGATTGGTAAGCAAATAGTGAAATCGTAATGATTCATTGTCTCTATAGGCCCTATTGTCGGTGGTGGTATTACCTCAGGCACAGGTTGGCGAAGTGTATTCTGGCTCTGTACAGGTTATGGTATATTTTTGTTTTTATTCTTCTTTCTGTTTTTTCCAGAGACCTATCGTCTAGACCATAAATGGGATCAAGGCTCAATTTCTGTTCGATCTTCAATCACCTTGGTTGAACAAGTCAAGAGCCAATCGGGCAATAAGCAACCACCACCGACTAGGTTTAATCCATTCAAAAGCTTTGTCTTGATAAAGTATGTCTTTGTTGCTTTTGTTGCTATTGAAATTGGGTTTTGCTTTGGAAGCATGTTCACACTCGAGACTTTGATACCTGATATTTATTATAACCAATACGGGTTTGATTCTTGGCAAACAGGTAAACATTGGCTGATAAAAATTGGACATTCATGTGATATAGGTTTAAGTTTCCTTGGTGCTGGTATCGGAAATGTGTTGGGGTCCATTGTTTCTGGTCGATTGTCTGATTATTTGTTGGCAAGAACCAGTCGAAAAAGAGGCGGCGTATCTAAAGCAGAAGATAGATTTACATTGAATACATGGTAAAGAAAAAATGACTCTTTTTTTAAGTAACCTTTGACTTTAGGCCGGGCGGTTTTATTTTCATTCCATTAGGGATACTGCTTTTTGGATGGAGTATTATAGCTAATTTTACAGTGTGGCCTGCTATTATAGGCTTCAGCATTTTATGCTTTGGCATGAGTCAAGGTAGATGTAAATGCATATGAGTTTGATTACATATTTACATATCTCAGTATATACGACAGGTTCTGCCTATCTAGTAGATGCAGTGCCTGGAAAAGGAGCATCTGTAACAGGCTGCTGCAACTTTTTTCGATTAACTATGTCTGCTATTCTTAGTTTTGTATCGCCTATTATGGGGGCCAAGCTATCGATTGGCTATGTATGTGTACTTTTAGCTTTGTTAAACATGATAGGCATGTCTTTATTGGTTTATATCAAATTTAAAGGGATTCATATAAGAAGAAAGACTGGATTAGCCCAACTGAAATAATAAATTGAAGACAAAGAAAAGATTCCTTAGAGTGTAACCAGAGAGATTTACTTCTTACAGCTACAAGAGGTGCAAGTGCACTTGGTACCACAGTTACTAGTAAACATTGAATATACACATTTTTAGTCATAAGTTTACTTACCCGCAACAGCCGTTATGAGTTTGCATTTTATATAAAGTTTTGATGATATTTTTCTGAAAAGCAAGAAAAGTGGTCGCCTATTTATACTATCACAGTCGATATCAGCTGAATAGACAGCAGATAGATCATATTGGGTACCTTATTCTCAGAGTTCTGTATGACCCTGCTGATGATCACTGTATTTACATGAAAAGGAATTTTATTATATAAAAAATGTGAATGGTACAAGAGAATAAAAAAGAGTTGGTCTATCGCTGAGTGTTGTAAGAGACTTGAGCATTAGCACGGTTAGCCAATGCTTGTTTGTGAACCTGTTGTTTCTTTTGTAAAACTGTGCTTACACCCTGAGAGACATCATACACTTCTGAGGCAAATCTTTCTTCAAATGTCTTTTCTCCACGCTTTTTAGAAGCATCCAACATCCAAACAATAGCACGACGGCGACGTTGACGATCTCTTAAGGCTGTAGGCACATGCACAACTTTAGAGCCCTTTTTTGTAGAAGACAATTTCAATAAAGGTGAAGCAGTCTCAATAGCTTCATACAAAACGTTATAAGGATCGGATTCAGGACCGACTTTTTTGGAAAGGTGCTTCATACTATCAAAAATCAAGCGTTGTGCTCTTGCTTTTTTACCATCACGCATGAGTGTGTTTACTAATTGACTAACGACTTCGTTGTTGGGAACTGTGGTGACGCTGGTTGTCATAGTACGAGCCATAGGTTGAAACTTGCTGCTTAAGGAGACGCCATTCTGGCGAAGTGCTTGTAAAATGCTGCTTGACATGACTCAAAAAGATAGAGTAAGCTGGGGGTTGTAGGTGACAAGACGAACCTGGTTGTTAGTACGGAGATTCTAATTTTTTATAACCTCAAAAGTCACAGTGACTGTTGTTGCTAGAGTTTAACCCATTGTGCTTTCAAATAGGCCACCTCAAGAAGATTCGCATACGCTTCAATAGTAAAGGTCATTCAATGCAAGGATTTACAGAGTGTCTGGAATAATTGAATGGATCAATGGTAGACGGTCTTGACAAATAATTTGTTCTCTTGAGTAAGTATATCAACCTCATTAAAAAGATTTCTTCCTGCATGACATTCATTGTTTGTCATGCCCAAAGTTGTTCTTTTTCAACTCAAGAGAATCAAGTACTATAATATAAGTTACTTGTCTGTATTTTGCGCATCAAATGGTATAGAAAAGTGTTCTTTCACTGGCCAATATCTACTCAAAAGAGACTCTTTCGTATTGATCACAGTGTACAATGAACTTTGAATACAGGTTTGAAAGCAATGCTCAAATGGACTCGCCGTTTCCTATCTATATGAGTACCATCCACAGGTTCACTATTTGGCACCAATACCAGTTTCTTCCTTTCCCCTGGATATCCGTCGTAGTGTCAGAAAATATCTTCAAGCAGTGAATCAAAGTCATTGTCAACTGGAACCATTTTTTGGTCAATGCCTTGTTCGTACTTCATTAGACTTATACAATCCTGTGCATATTCCTGCAATCCAGCGATCTCTTGGTTTCTTTTCTTTTGTGCGTATGTTGAAACTGCCTTTTGACAATGAAAATTTCATTGCCCTAAAAAATGGTGGCTATACTTTCCGTAAGGTCATCACACAAGCTGCCTTGTCTGATATCATTGCCCGGCAAGAAGTTTCTTCTGCTGCTTGGAAGTACTTTTGGTGCATACCTATCACAACATTGCAGAGAAATGTGATGTATCGATTTCTGACTCACAAGATTCCCACTCGCTTACTTCTATCCAAGGTTTTTCCTGCTCGCTTCCCTACTGCTGCCTGCATTTTGTGTGGTGATCAGGAGACTGTGTATCATTTCTTCTTTCGTTGCCCCCAAAAATTTCCGTTCTGGGATGCCTTGATCAGGGAATTTCTATGGCCAGGCACCTCTCTGGATCTAGTCTCTGATGCACTTGCATCTTTCAATTTTTCTCGGATTCGGTCTCAAACCAACTGTCCTCTTTCAGTAGCCATGGTAACCTTGATCGGTCTCTCTGAAATCTGGAAGGCCCATTGGACCCATACCATGCAGAACCAACCATTCCATTATCTCTCTGTTCTTCACAGCACTCGCTATCAAATTAAGCGTATAGCTGCTGAAAATGACCTTTCATCTTGAGAGGTCTTTTCTCGCAATAGCTGCTCTTTTTTTTCTTTTTGATTTCTTATAATAAATAATTGTTGAGCACCTCTTTTAGTGGGTCCCTCTCCAGACCACTAATACGTGCGGCAAATAAAATCATTAAAAAAAAAATCGAGCTTTTTGTTGAGAACTGTATAAAAATACAGTTATTTTGCCTTAGTATAGTGACAAAAGTTGTGGATGGTTACTTTTTGAGTCTATTGATGTAGATAACACAACAATTTTGCTGCTAAAATATTGAGAGAATCGATAAAAATGTTTATGAGGTTTTTCATCCATATCTCATCATTGTCGTATTACAGTTAGCATGCAAGTACACGTACCAAAAACCAGAGCTTTTGATGCTCACTTTGGATATTTAAGCTTGTTAATATCTCTATTTCCCGTCTTGTAACGTCAAAAAGAAAATCAAAGCTGTCAAAATTAGCATTTTCCGTGAGTGGTACCCTTTGGTCAAAAGGCATATTTTGGCCATTTTTTACAAGTCGCTTTTTTTGGTACATATCAGCCCCAAAGGTGCCCTGTATGTTAGGTAGTTGGAGCTTTCATGTGTATATAAGCAGACTTTATGGCACCTTTATATGCCTAAGAAAAAGACAAAGATGTGTAGAAATTGTTGTCTTCTTCATTTTTGAAGCATGCATTTGCCGTGTCCCTGTTACATGAATAAGTAATACACTATCAAGTTCATTATTCACATAAACTTTTTCAACAAAAAGATACTTGATTTGCTCAAGTCAAAGAAAGCAATAGGAAATCATTTCAACTTCATGATATAAATAACCTTTAGGACACGTATTAAATATGGAATAGTTTACCATATATTACCATGTATCCAAAACTCTTTATTAAATACTCGGCTTTCGCTTTAATAAAGATACATGTCATCTGTATGATTTAATGGCATTTTGTCTTGAGAAAAGAGACCCCTTGACCATCCATGTAGATTGATTTACCAATTCTTTGGCTAGTAATTTTAGTTTAACGATTATGCACATCTTTGTCTTTTCCATACATGTTAGGTGAGCCTACTCAGACAAAATAATATAGAAGAATAATTAAGAGACTTCCTTTGCCTAATACCAAGCAGAAATAAAAAAATAAGTAAAAAAAAAGTAAGACACCACTGTAAAGAGTATGAAATCAGTATACAAAAAAGGGTATTTACGTTGTAATAAATAATTGTGTTGCTTACTATTCAGATGCTGTGCACAGAGTGAAAGAGGTCATAGCTATACACTCTCTTTTATGCTGCTTCATTTGCTTTCTTTTTGATCTTATTAACAATACTGCTTCAAAGTCATTTCGTACACAAAACGACGTTCGTTATATACATATAAAAGGATGCCCATAAGACATTCTCAGTAAAAAGCCAAAGATGAATTAAACATTTAACATTGGTTTGTGACCGTTGTTTAGTTAAGGAGTCTCTTTCATGAATTTTGCTGAAGCGAAACCACGATTATGGTTAAAAAATGAATGAATCCTGTATTACCAAATTCAGTATGACTAGATCCAGGTTTAAGTATGCATCTTTCTCTAAACACACAAAAACGAGAGAAAAACTACGCTCAATTTAGATTTTATAAATTGCTATTTATTTTCGTCGTTACTGATTTGAGTTAGAGTGCTAGTATACACTGGTCAAACAATAACACGATATAGCAATGAATAGTAAGGCTATGCAGAAACACTTCTCTTAAGTTTACATGGTACACTCTTTGGTTCATGTATTTGGCTTCTTGTTTGTATGTGTCCCCTGTTTTCAATACTCGTACGATTGATCCGAGGAGACTAGCAAAACAAGCCAATGAGTACTGGATTTATGGGTCGTACCCTCATTCACCTTGCAGTTGTTTGTGCATGTCCCTGAATAGGCAGTTAAATGAACTTGAGACATCATACTCGGATATAATACAATGTTTAAATAAATCCATGTTATGCATCTATTGATTCTGATCAAAGTTATCTGCAAGCAAGGCAGTAGATTTAAAGAAAAGTATTTTTTCTTTTTCATTTTATAGCTTTGATTTTGAACACTATTGTGTTATTTAAAGAAAGTGCTGCATTCAATTTTATCTAATCTCTCATGTGTAGTCTTCTATTTAGAAGACAGATAAAACAAAAACAAACAACATTCGACGTCCATCTTTGTACATGCCATGCAGGAGAATATCATTATGCCTTATTTGTGATAGTTTTTTTTTCTGAAGTTGAGAGTGCAGTCTATATTTTAATCGTGAAGCTACTATATACTTAATGTAGAGTTTTGCTCTAAAAATAACGTGGCAAGCTTGTTGTCTGCAATAGAATTCTATTCTTTAAAACAATCCCTTACTTTCTTTTCTGTCAAATTACAAATATACGTTGTCCCTCTCCCCCCCCTTCTTAAGAAAGTGTTTAATTTTATCGTTAATGACATTTATTCGTATGCAGGAGTTGATAAACAAAAATTACAGATAGTAAAATAAGTGGCTCTTTCTTTTATGCTTTATGAAATATACATATGATATTAATTACATTCGGGTCTGGTTCTTTGGACTTTACCAAATTACTAGAGTTTCCGAAAAAAAAAAGTGGGGGGGGGGGGACTTGTAAAGGGGGGAGAGAGAATTAAAATAGGAGCAACACCATTGTATAAAACTTTAACTATTATTTACTATTGGTTGTTGTTACTGCTGCTGTATGGATTTTGGAGTGACGACGTAAGTTGCTAACTACCGAGAATCGTCTTCCACATCCTTCAACCACACATTTATAAGGTTTCTAAGAAAAAAAAATAATTATCAATACGCGAATGTGAATAAAAAAAAAGAAAAGAAAAACTTACTTCTCCTGTATGGCTATGCATATGAGTTGCCAAAGAACTTGGACGAGTGAATCTTTTGACGCAGAGTGTGCATTTGTATCTTCTGGGGGCTTGGCTTGATGTGACAGAACTACAGGCAACAGAAGATGGAGAAGGAGATCCTGGCATTGATTTTTCTTGACTTTGTCTTGATGAGGAAGAAGTAGTAGATAAAGAATCTAAACTGTTTCTACTGGTATATCGTCTTTTATTGTTGTGTCTGTATACATGTTGTGGTGGAGGAGGGGGAGGGGAAGAAGCAGAGTCAAAAGCAGGATCATAGAACATAGAACCATAGGCTTGTACAAATGGATGTTGACATCCGGGATAACATGGTGGTTCTGTAAGGGCAGGTGATGCTTCTAAGCAGTACATCATATCCAATGAATAATTTCTATTATTGAAATACTTGTAAGCCAAATCTTGCTCTTGCTGATAATACGAATAAGGTTCCGAAGTGGGTGGCGTTAATAAAGGGATGACACCTGTATTACTAGACTGACAGGAGTCATAACAGGAGTCCGGTAAAGGCGATAAAATCTCTCTTTGATATTCTAGCATCTGATTGTATGACCTTGATGGACTCGAGAAACTACAATTAGGTGAATTAGCACAAGAACAATCAACAGGCGACACCGAAAGAGTATTGCTTGAAAGGATGTTAGGAGCATGAGAAGGTGGTGGAGTAGCAAACTCTATTTGAAAATGAGAATAGGCAGTGAAGTGATCCATGTTGAAAATAAAATGAAAGAATAAAGAATCGAAGTGTGTTTATATAGTCTTGATCAATTTAAGGGGGACAACTTCTCGAAAAAGAAAAAAGGGATAACTTTGAAATAGTCTTTTTATATACAAAAATCATATGAGGTTCATTATTTAATATCAAAACAGGTTTTCTCATTTTGACATAATCATTATATCTTGTAAACTTGTTTTCAAATTGTGTTTCAACTTCATGAATAATGAAGAAAGAGAAAGAGAGAGAAAAAAAAAAAAAAAAAGGTAAACAAGGAGTAATCATAATGCAAAAGGGGTCAGCGTGTAAATACACACACACAAAAGAGGCGGGTATATAGGACTCAAACATAAAAAAGGGTCAACAAATACAGTGACTTTTTTACTGGGCGTTTTCTGAAGCTTATATCCATACTATGCAAGCATTATGCAAAACACACTTGTTTGGATGTTTGTTTATTTAATGAGCTTCCAGAAAACATCGTTCAAATGGCTACCCCCCTTCTTCTTCATCCTTCCCCTATCTTGCTCTTAGTACGAACTGTCAACAACAACAACAACAAAAAACGCATTTTCTTTACGATTCTATGATACTTCTTTTCTCTTGTTGTTTTTACGGCTTATTTTATGAAAAAGGAAGTCAAAGGAGTAAAAATAAAAAAAGAGAATTATCTTAATAATTGATTAGCAAATCTATCCTTTGCTGTTTGATAAGCCTGCATCAAGGTTTGCTCAGCAAATGGAATATCGACCATGTCCATACGAGGTTTAGATACTCGGCTGACAATAGCATTTGAGTCTGTCTCTAAAATGATTCTAATCCGTCTTATTTAATACCACACGTACACTCTCTAATAAAAACACTTACCCTCCATCAACTGTTTCATCAAGACAAAGAATGACTAAATCCAAATTATCCATAATAGAGCGCTTTTCAACTTGGTATCTAATCAATATCAATAGCGTGTATAGACGCGTTTAGATGTACCTTAATAAAGTAGAAACAGCGTCATAGAAAGCATTCAACATGCTTAACAAAATCAACTCGTTTTCTTCCATAGAACCAACCACATAAAAGGAAATATCGATATTTGAACGGTACAATACAACTTGGTTATCGTACAAAATAACCTCGCCTGTCCTTGTTAGTCAACACAGACTCATCTCGTATTGTTACTTACTGCCTTGAGCACGCTTTGTTTTGTCAAATAAGCCCTTTTCAAACTGCTTTTGTTGTTTTACTGTTGTTTGCTCAGAGCCATAGTACTTGGCCAAGACACGATTGCCCTCTGCATCAAGCAAGATGACAGCCTTGATTGAATATAAAGAAAGGTTGACCATAGTCTAATAATAAAAAGAAAAGAAAAAAAGAGAGAGAGAGAAACGAAAAGGGATCTCATTTGCTGTGTAAATCATATTAAAACGGAGCATTTATTCGAGTTCTTCTGTCTGTTCAAAATATGTTTCCCATAAAGCAATGATCTGCTTTTGATGCTCAATCATACTACGAAGGAATTGTTCGACACTATCACGGAAGTCCTCTACTTTCTCCTTATCAAATCTGTCGAGTTCATTCTTGATCAATTTAGAGATATCTTGAAATTCCTGTTCTAATTCTTCTACTTTTCCTTTCATTTCATTGATTTCTTGTTGATGTCCAACAAGTTTTTCTGGTTTGTTTTTTTGTTGCATTTTCAGTTTCTCGAAAAATGCTAGTTTTCTCTGTAATTCAGAATCAGCTTGTTGATATGTCTGGTATGCTTTGACGCGTGCATGAAAAGCAATCTAACAAAAGGTTAAATACAGTTGTGCTATCATCTAACAACTTACTCGAATAGAACCAATGATTCGAATGTATTCATCAATCGTGTTTTCTAGTGTGATAATGTCATATTGTGCCTGTTGTTCATGCAATTCTTTCATTTGCTTTTGAATCTTGCCCAACACAATCAAGTGGGTAGATAGATTTCGATTTAATTCCGCTGAAGCAAGAGGAAACATGCTCTCACCAAATTCTGAAGTAGCTGATCCGAGTTCTAAGATTATCAGAAGATATGCACTGTTGTAATTTATCCTTACCTTTTCTTTGCTTTACAACACCCTCAACACTTTTTAATAAGCCCTTGAGTTGTGCTTCCAAGGCATCTAACTGGTTCTTTTTCGATTCGAACCATTCGTCTACTTCAACAAACTTACTAAAGGGACTTGTGGCTGCATTCGACAGTGTTTCACCAAAGGATCGCATAAAACTCATTTTGGAATTCTCTGGTTCTGCTCTTCTCTGTCGTTTCTCTGCATTAAATGATTCACTCTCCAGAAACACTTTAAGATCAGGATCACCATACAACATGGGATGTGCTACAATTTTTTGTAGGCATCTTTCAAGAGCAATTCGTCTTGATTCAACAAAATCATCTTGAAAGCGACCCAATGCATGCTTCTCAGGCACAGGTGGTACAATGACACCAGGATTGCCTAATGTGAGTTGATTATAAAGCCATAAAAAGTCTCGGTATCTTCTTGCTACAATGAATTCTGAAGATCGAAATGAAGGCGAATTTGTCTATGCTTGTGAATATGGTATCCAATCAAGTTCTAATATACCTTTGTTCTGACTTTATATACAATATGTGCATTAATAGCATCGCCTACTTTTTGAGGATCCTCTATGGAAACTTGGAAATAAGGCCGAGACCCACTTTCGGGTACCCTTAAAGATTCTGACTATGCAAAAAAGAAAAAGAGTTATTTTACAGATGTCTATCTCTGTTTCCCTATTTCTCTTACTTGGGTATCTTCTTGCGCTTCTTCTTGCGCTTCTTCTTGCGCTTCTTCTTGCGCTTCTTCTTGCGCTTCTTCTTGTGTTTCTTCTTGTATCTCTTTAAACTGTTCTGTCACTTCTGTAGTTGATGTTGGTTCTGGTTCTGGTTCTGTTACAAGTCGTTCTTGAGAAGTATCAATAATAAGTATATTAGACTCAACTAAACTTGTTGACTGAGAAGGTGTGTCTGCAAAAGGGTTCGACTCTAAGGAATCCTCTCCAAAGACCAAAGAAGACTTGTTTGAATCAAAAGTATTCATTGTTAACAAAAACCTGGAGATTAACACAAAAAAAGAAGAAAAAAAAAAGGCTTCGGAGCCATTCAAGCGAGAACATAATCTAGCCAATCAACACTCACGTATTCTCCTAAAGTACCTCACTCGTTATGCTAAACTTGAAAATACACTTGGAGATATATTCAAAATGTTTTATCCCACTCCGCTTTCAGTTTGCTTAAGAAATAATAATATCTAGTTTTTGTTACAATTGAGTACCTTTGGTAAAAGAGAGTTTTTTTGACTGTACAGTCGCATATAAAAGACAGTAAGTTACAAATTGAATGAACTTATTCATGCTAAGATAACATTCATTTATTTCTTTCCTCAATCACCATACAAAAGCAAACTGCACTTTACAATATATCTACTTCTTTTTTGAACAGGTACATGTAAGGCCACTCGTTTTTAGAATGCACTGTAATAAGAAAAAAAAAGAAATAACGAAAGAAAAAGGCATCATTTACTAAGCTTTGGTGATAAACACACCTCAGCGAACTCGGGGATCTACTCCTGATGTTGGGAACAGAGAGTTCCAGCCTCTCGTTCTGCTTGACCAAGAAAGCTTCCCAGTCATACAATGCCATTAGACATTTTTGAAATCTTGATTTATCAGTTGGATGTCCCAAGGAAGAAAAAGCATACATAGCGACTTGGCAAGTAGAAGGCCATCTTCATCCTCTTCCAAAACAAACATTTCACCAGATATACTGCCCTAAGTGAAACTAACGACTTTCTTTTCATCAGCAACAGAGTTCTGCAGATTCTTCAAGACTTATGCGTTCAAACGTAAACACTTCTCTTTTTGTGCCGCAAGTGTTGCTGCTTTGTTACCTGCCTTGAATTCTGATATTGACAGTTCTCTACCGTTGATTTTAATCATCTTTTCAAAAAACCCATCAATTACCTGAAGGCTTTTTTTTTGTTGAGCAAGTTGACAATTCTTGACAAAAGAAAGTCTTTTATAAACCATACAAGTAGTAATAAAGTATACACTTGCTTTGAAAATATCTTGTTGGTCTCATAGTTTTCCAACAAAGAAAGTGGCAATTTGTCCAGCAAAGGCAAAGGGTGGGTTGAACACAAAGTTCTTGCAGCTTCTATGTCACCACTCTACTCAGTCTTCAACTCATCAAAGGTAACATTGCTATTTAATTCCTAAGAAAAGGATTTTAATATTCTATGACTCTTCAATGTACATACTTTCAACCGAATAGACTTGAACAAAAAGTTTTTAACGCCATCATTGGCAAGTAAATAATGATTTGGCTCAAAGAGTGATATATTGCAAATAATAATCAGCATGCCTAGTCTTCTGTTGAAAAAGTGTTTGAACATCTCATCATTTTCTTGGCATAAGTGAAGTGAACTTCCTTATTTAATAACGCCGAATGTAATTTAACCGAAAGATCGTCCTCATTCTATAATTCTGTAACCCTTGGTCAGGCGTTATGAAACTGTTTTACTCTGCTTTTGAAAAAAATCCCTTAGTTGGTGAAGACGAGATAGAAGATAGGGTACACACCCACCCTTGGTATCAACACCTTCTAGGCTAAAGACTTTCCACCCAAATAACAACAACAAAAAAGAAAAAGATAAACAATTTGCTTGAAAGGATACAATTTTTTTATTGTATAATTATAAAAATTAAGCACGGTTGGGGAAGAGTGTACCCTATCTGAAGTCGAGGGTGGATAAAACCTGTGTACCCGAAATTTAAAAGTAGATATAAAGTAAAAGTCATCACAGACCTTTTTTTCTTTTTACTCGTTTTAAGTGTGTCAAAGGGTCGAAGCAAAACGCTCATAAAACTATGATTATAACTTCAAATGTTATAAAAGATACTACTCATAAATTATAAGATACACATGAATTTATTTTGTGCAAAAAAAAAGGGGGATAGCTAAAAAAAGATATTAGCGCCTTAGCTTATAGCAAGCAATGATTGTGTTTCTGGCAACTTTGAGTTATTGGGGGCATTCATAGCTATCATTGACATTGGCCAGTCGCTTCGTAACATAATTGAGGTTATCGATTTTATAAAGAGCTTGTTTGTCAAGAACTGTTTGCACTTTTCCTACTGTAAAGAAATGGACACCAGTTGGTGCTACTGAGTACATCTTAGCATGCAAAACATACTCTTGTCCAAAAGATAAAGCTTCTGTTAAAGAAGGAGTATTTGATGATAACACAGAAGGAAAGTATGCTTCGCAATTGTTTTCCTTTAACTCTCCCACCTCATTAAAATTCTTGGGATCAAAGTTTGCTGGATCAACAATAAACAAAAACTCTGACAGGCTTTCTTGAAGAATAATACTGCTTTTGATCGCACTTTTTTTGCTGCATAAAGAGCAGTAGACTCCCTGTCTTAATTAATACAAAAGATGCTGGTTGTACACTTCTTCAAATCTTCTTTTAAAACAGTTAAGCTTGAGTTTTATAACTCCTGATTACGAATATTTTTTGCAGAGACGTATTCATTCGTCGTTGGATAGTTCTTCTTCAGAAAAGGCAAAATGTTCAGAGATTTTTCTTGAAAAAACGCATGTTCAT